CCTCTGATAATTTACCTACATCACTAACAACTTCTGGTTCTGTATCTATGCAAGTCTTGTTTTTTTGAATTTTCTTATTTTCTTCTTCGTCCACAATACTGGATTGGATACTTATATTAACACGTTCTTCGTGCAAATCTATCTTTTTATTTAATGAAATTTCGTTAAAGCTACAACTTTTGGATATTAAAGTTCCTGAAAGTTCACTTTCTTCCTCATTCTTCTTCTTGATTTTATTTAAATCTTCAGAAACGATTTTTGAAGCAGTGTGTTCTATAGATGAAGAAGTAAGAGATTCAGTAGCGTGTGAAAACATATCTCGACTTGACTCTTTAAATACATCAGCAAATATATCTTCTTCAATTTTGTCATCAGATTTAAATGTTATTTCGATATCATGTTTTTTAGTAATCCCTTTTGAATAAAGTACTGGAACATCTGGTATTTCGATAAATTCATCAGAATCTGAATCAGTCGTATGTGTATCTAACTGACGCATATTTCCTATAAGGACAGGTTGTTTCTGACACTCAACTCTCTCCTCGTACGAAATGATTTGATCATTATCTTTTATAAACTGCAAATCGCTACCATTATACTCAATGCTTTCTGTTGTAACATTTGAATTAGAGTTCTCTGATGGATACAAAGATATACTCTTCTCCACAATTTGATTGACATCTAATATATTGTCTTCAGTAATTTTATCTTCTTCCATTTTTTGATGTTTTATTATATTACTTATAGTTGGGTCTAATGCAGATAATGATTTTGTACTTCCACTCGAATGAGTATCAATTATTTTCTTACTCTCTTTTCTATTTTGTTCCATAAGCTGCATAATTTGTTCTTGCGTTAAACCACTATGCTCTAACATATATGCTACAGCAGGATTAATGATATTTTTATTCAAATACTTTTTAGGAAACGGTAAAGATTCATTTTTTTCACTTTCTGATTCCCAATCGCTACCAAATTCATATTCATTTATATTGTCAATAATAGGTACAGAATTACTATAGCTTGTCAAATTACTATCGCTATCTCCGTCGCTTAGTTGAAATTCATTTAGGCTTTTATGAGTTATTGTAATGCCACTGGGGCCAGCAACAGGTTCAACTTCCTCATTTATGCTTTCTAAAACATCTTCCTTATTTGTTTTATCCTGAATAGTATTACGAATTAATGTATCTTTATCTAAAAAATAATCAAAAATAATAATAATAATAAACTTATTCAATATTTCATTAAAAAGATACTTTTTCAGAAAATGGAGAACTTTGGAACTATTTGCTCCCAACTTACCGCTAATATAAATGACTCTAGACGTACTGTCTGATGCAATGCGGTATGCATTATCTCTATTAGTCTGAACACCCTGTTCAGTTAATAATTTCTCCAATTCCTCTAAAGTTAACGTTTTACCTCCCATCTCTTTCTCGGCAGTTTCTAACGATTCTTGTACGAATCTACGTTTTAATAAGCGTTTCATTTGAAAAGTAGAAAATTTATTAGATTCCTGAAATAAAAATAATATCAAACTACGAATCTACAAATTCCAAATTCATTCTAGTTTCATAAAACATGATAAAATAAAATATATACTTCAGGCATTTCATGTAAACGTCCCCATGAACTCTGTTTTCTAGTCTCCTTAAGATCTGTAAGAATGTCATAACGCACATCAGCAGGCAGTGATTTAAACTCCGCAGTAGACAGATCTACACTGTGAATATTGCCCATCCATTTAGTTTGCTTTCTTGGACTTAATTGCATAGATGAATCTGAGTCATCGCTACTTATATAGTCCTTTTCATCCATATTAGTTAATTCTGGTAGTTTGAAAACATCGTTTAGAGATGGTTTACCATAAATATGTTTTACTGTTGATATTTCAGAAGATTCAATATTTCCATCTACATTTTTCTTATTTAATACACTTTTCACAGCTGTATGCTTTATCAAGTTATTTATCAAATCTGCCCTCATATTCTGTGCCTTACTCTTAGCAATAGATTTCTGCTTCCTGCGTGCAGCCTACAAACACAAAAGAATGAGGAGATTCTTTTCTCACTACCTGGTTCTCACGCTGTGCTAATTATCTACAGGTAATATTATAATCAAGATGGATGAACAACTTTACTACAATACGCTTCTCTTGCTACATTCTATGCTATTTCAATCTTTGTGAAAAGAAGAAAAGAAAGAGCTAATATGTTACATAAAAATATATTAATAAAATATTGATTCGCACACTGCCGCACATTACTACTTACAATTGTAGATTTTTTAAGCATGGGAACACCCCCATCAAAGACAAATACCGGTTTGATTTTATAGTACAATAGTTTACAAATCCTATTAAATAATCCGATTAAGTGCGCATTGGGTTTAGGATTACCATGACGATCTTGATATCCTTGCAACACTTGATGAATCCATATAGAGACATCTGAAAAATGTATCGAAATTGTCATTACATATCTGACTAACAAATTTCAATAGTACTAAACATAATATTAATAAACGTAATATTTTTCTATAAATAAAGTAATTTTATAAATAGAAATATAGAAGTTAATAGTTACCCACCAATAGCTAAAACTTTTCCTTCTAATGTTTCCAAAGGAACTGGTTTTCCAGTAGCATCAATTAATCGCCATAGGCCAAGTACTCCCATGATATCAGAATAAAATTTCTACTTTGTTTGGTATATATTAAATGGAAAATTTGTTGAAAAAGATTAAAAATAATACAAGTACTTTCACAATGTACTTCCTACCAGCATTATCATATCGTATCTTAATCCATAGTTTAACTTATTCTAAGAAATTCTACTTACATTATCGTTTCCTAAGAAATATTCTAACAAATGCTAAAAAATTGTCATTTGTTACGACATATATATGAATATTTTTTAATTATTATTATTTGAAACTGGATTGATACCCTAATGAATTATATTTTATAATAATTAATATCAGAATGTGAAATGAGTATAGACTGGTGTGACGAGCAGCTGATAAACGAAAACAATACAACTAGCGCACCCTGTTCGTGGTACACGTTAAATAGCTTTATATTTAAGTATATACAATACAATACTAATTATAAATCCATATATAACTATTGCTGAATTATATATATATTTTTCGTTTGAAATCCTTTTTCTTCAATAAATTCATTAATATTTCTTTGCTCTTAAGCTTATCCTTTTACGAGTAGTTTTTCTTTTATATAGGTATTATTAATCTTATTTCAAATTAATAACATTATGAAAAATAGACAAAATAATGATGAAGTTATGTAAATATACTGATAAATGAAATGTATAACATTTCAAGATAGAATTCAACGTGTGTGTATACATGTTCATACGTGTACGTATATAAATGTATATATACAAGAGGTTTCCTCTTTTAACACGTTCTTTTCTCACGCTTCAGTTTTACTAGCGGGAAGATGAGCGAAAAGATGGAGAGATGATCTTTCTCTTGGAACAATATTCTATTTCACAATTTGCTATCATATATTTATCTTACGACTACGGTATATTTTAAGAGTATAAGAATACTATTCCTAATTGCCTAAATATTTGTTTACTAGTGAAGCTTATCTTATTATGTATAGTCTAAAGTAAACTTAGAAAAACAAGAAATTCGAAAAATTACATGAGAAGAGTACTGCATTCAAAAAGAGATTGCATACGTGAGTAAAACGATAATTAAAAGAATTGTAGGAGATTAGGTCATTTAAATGACAGAAAAAAAATAAAAGGAAAAGAACATCCATATAATTGATATCTACTATGACTGTAAAAATGTAATTGGTTTTTTCTTTTCTACTTTTCATTCGCTTACTATATATTTTATAATCTAAAATAACGTAAATTCTTAGGACCGTTGTTTGAAAATGAAAAAACGACCATTATTAATGTCGCTCACATATTTTATATTTAGTTGAGTATCGATAAAGGAGCGATCAGGCAGCCGTAGTACTATTATAAGCATTAACTTGAAGCGTTCACGCACACGTTCTATATTACGCAGCAAGTCATGGATGCACGTCGTCGCTCGACGAATGCACGCACGCAACGTGCAACAACGCGTGCACTAACACACACACATGTGCATGCATGTCGGGCAGAGTATGAAACTCTTTCTCTCTTTCTCTCTCTCTCTCTCTCTCTCTCCGTTGCAGAGACGCGGCGCAGCGGTTTATATACATCGTATCGTCATCATCGCAAAAGTGGAGTGAGGTAGAGGCCACCCACTCTTTCCCACAGCAGGTTTTTCCCACGCCCCCTAGGGTAACCCCAACATCCTTTTGCGGGAGCAATTCCACGGTCGGTCGGGGAGAGAGGGGAATAGTTCGTTTCAGGTGGGGAGCAAAAGAGGTATTGGAGGCGCTTGGGTCGGACGGGCCATTGTACAACAGTAAAACAATAGAAACTACGATCCAGTGATGTAACTCTGTCGTTTCGAATAATTGCGATATTTTTTTCAACGGTTCAAAGTTTTGTTCTTTCTTTAAAAAAAAAAACTCGAATTTGTATGAGAAAGAGCTTTCCACCAATATTTGAATTTAAAAAAATGAATAAAACCGAATTTAACTATGAAAAGTATTGTTCTGATAAATAAGAAAAAACGTAAAAAGATAAAGTTGGAAGGTGATATTTTAGATAGCGGAGAATGACTTATTTGAAGGTATAAAACAAAATTTAAAGCTTCAGAAAAAAAGCAACTCGTTTACTGAAAAGAGCACCCTTCCTCTATCTGTTTAGAATACGGCCCTGAAGCAGCCACTTACGCGGCAGTAATAACTCTACGTTGTCGCGCCGAACTTAGTTACTCGATGAGTGTCGGTAGGAGCGAGCGTTTCACGCGTTCCAAATAGCTAGACGCACTTTTTCACTTGCTCATCTCTAAGATTTCGAGAGAACACGAAAAACATTATTTATTTCTCTCGCATTGAAATATTTTGTATTTATTTATTTTATGTACATTTTGTTTGTTCACTCAATTGGTTATTTACTATTAATATCATTCCAAGGAAAAATGAAAAATATCACATCAGGTGATCATATACATTGCGTACTTTGAAAGGACATTTAAAGTGGCGCGCGAATTCACCCGGTGAATGTTTTTCGTTTACTTCGATTGGCAGGACTGTTCGGAAAATTCGGAAAGTGAACAGGTGTTTTTTGAATGGATTAGCGAGAGAGAGAGAGAGAGAGAGAGAGAGAGAAACAGTAGGCGAAAGGATGCGTAGAGTTTCGGTGAATGGTGAACGATCGGCGGCGAATTGAAGGAAATTTACAAATGATTAAGGTCCTCAAAGATAAACATGAACACGGATTCAGATTCGGTTTACCAATGAAAATGAGGTGAGTCCTAGGAACGAAACCTCAGTTCTATAAGAACGATGTGTTCCTGTAACCTTGCAATCCAATAAGAAGAAGGTAAATAAACAAATGTGATACTTTCATAGGTTACAATATAAAATCCATATGATGTTAATTAAGATAGTAAGAATATAAGGTATTTATATAAATTAAGAAAAAAATGTTTAGCGTTTTGTGTTCATTTTGAATTGCTACTATTAAAAAGCGTTGTTTCGATTTAAGTAGAGAGTCGCTTATTTGTCTTATATATCTGTCGGTCCGTCAGTAGTTCGGTATTTGTTGTTATTACGCTCTTGTATTTCTAATTTTTTCACGAGGTTCAATCATGTTACATTTTCATAACACGTTCTTTTTTTTCTTACTGCTTTACCTTAATTGCCTGCGTTCGTAACGTTACAATGAATTGCGCGATTTAATTGGGAGTGATTCTCTTTGAAAAATTTATATAATAACAAGCATAGAAAATCTCCTCAGAGAATAATAGAAACGTATCCTAAGTTTTCATTTCGAAATCTTTATTCAAGAAATATTCTGTAATAGAATTAATTATGCTTTGTAATATCCGTTTAATGACGCACAAATATGATTGCACCTAAAGATGTAATTTTGTAATTTATTCACATCTCATGAAATATTTAAACTCATTTCTAGTCAAACTACATACATAATTCGTTTTAGTATATAAATTATGCAACAGAAAACTCGAAGATATCCTGTCAAAGTCAGCCAAAGATTTTTGCAAGTAATGCCATCCATAAATATGCGTTGCAATCGTTCGGATATATATTGAGATTACTAAAACTTCATAATGTATCAGTTAGTAAATGTGTTCTATTTTATAGCTATTTGTAGAAAGGGTCATTTAAAAATTTGTGACATAGTCTATTTGTATTGCTTTTTTATTTCTTTCAATAATATATTAATCTAACTTATTCAAATATATTTAATGAATTGTAGATGTGACATATAACAGTTTTAGTATGACCACCAGAAACAATCCATTAATTGATAAAAGAAAAATGATATCAGCTTGGTTCCCATGGCACGCATACATTTGCTTCTTCCTGTATTAAGGCAAGCAATTCTCGGTTACTAGTTTGAAAACAAGATATTGTAGGTTAATTACTTGTTAATTACTACTTGTACTATAAAAAAGCAACAATATTTCTCACGATAAAGCTTTAAAGAAAAGTACACTTTTGAATTTCATTAAAAGAATATAATAACACATTCTATGTTCTATTCTAAAGATATTTAAACCATTTATTAAGATGTTTTTTATTATGACAGTAAGAAAAATATATATTAATCATTGGATTCTTAATCGAATTGAATTAAAAGAATGTATCAGTTAATCTAAAAGTTAATAAGATTATCTACAATTCTTACAATAATTCATAGATCCACAAATTGCATTATTATTCATGGCTTTTATTTATTATTCAATTTTTCTTCTTCTTCTTCTTCACAGGTAAGATCTTGGAAGAATAAAATATGCAAAGGAAATGAGGCTATAGCTAACCAGAGAAGCAAAGTGTTGCTTAATTTGGAAGATAAAATTAAAATTTAAATATGCCACACCAATTTGGATTGCCTACAATGGCTCATGGGATGCAGTCTCCTCCGTCGCCGACTTCGGTCATGTCGGTGTATCCTCGCTATGGCTCAGGCTTATATAGATCCGATCAACAAGAGCAGAGACTTACACGCGAAGCAATGGAACGTTATCTACGCGATCGAAGTGACATGGTGATTGTAATTCTGCATGCTAAGGTAGCACAAAAATCATATGGTAATGAGAAGCGATTTTTCTGTCCTCCACCGTGTATTTATTTATTTGGTGATGGTTGGAGAATGCGTCAAGAACAGATGCTTCGTGAAGGTGAAAGTGAACAATCTGCTCAGCTTTGCGCTTTCATTGGAATTGGCAATTCTGAACAAGATATGCAGCAACTTGATCTCAATAATGGAAAACAATATTGTGCAGCAAAAACATTATACATCTCAGATTCTGACAAAAGAAAACATTTTATGCTCTCTGTTAAAATGTTTTATGGAAGTGGACACGACATTGGCGTATTTCATAGTAAAAGAATAAAAGTCATATCTAAACCTTCAAAGAAAAAGCAATCGTTAAAAAATGCAGATTTATGTATTGCAAGTGGTACAAGAGTAGCACTTTTTAACCGCTTAAGATCACAAACTGTTAGCACTCGCTATCTCCATGTAGAAAATGGTAATTTCCATGCAAGTTCTACACAATGGGGTGCATTTACGATTCACTTGCTAGATGATAATGAAAGCGAGTCAGAAGAATTTCAAGTGCGCGACGGATACGTCCATTATGGTAGCACAGTTAAGTTAGTATGTTCAGTCACAGGAATGGCATTACCACGTTTAGTAATCCGCAAGGTTGATAAGCAAATGGCCAGTCTTGAAGCAGATGATCCTGTATCGCAGCTGCATAAATGCGCCTTCTATATGAAAGATACCGATCATATGTATCTTTGTCTTTCTCAGGAACGTATAATACAATTCCAAGCAACACCATGTCCTAAAGAAGCAAATAAGGAAATGATAAATGACGGTGCTTGTTGGACGATAATTAGTACGGATAAAGCAGAATATCAATTTTTTGAAGGCATGGGACCAGTAAGATCACCCGTAACGCCGGTACCGCTTGTCCATAGTCTTCACTTAAATGGCGGTGGAGATGTTGCCATGCTTGAATTAACTGGTGACAATTTTACTCCTAATCTTCAAGTATGGTTTGGAGATGTAGAAGCAGAGACAATGTATAGATGTCAAGAAAGTATGTTATGTGTTGTACCTGATATATCACTCTTTAGAGGAGAATGGTTGTGGGTACGTCAGCCTACACAAGTTCCAGTTTCTTTAGTGCGAAACGATGGAATCATTTATGCAACTGGTCTAACATTTACTTATACTCCGGAACCTGGTCCACGTCCGCATTGCCCACCAGCAGACGAAATAATGAGGGCCCCACGTGCCATGCACAATCAAGCTAGTATGTCATCAGCGATAGCTGATGTACCATGGAATACACATCAACCTCCACAATCAGGTCTCTGATGTTCTCTAGATAATTATAATATTAACCAAAGTCTAAAACACAGTGATACAAATGATATTCCATTTGAATCCATTGACAATATCAAGGGTAGCATTTACGTCAAGAAGATGTTAGCCATGGAAGTCAATAGCTCTGGACGATATTTAGACAGTATAAAAACGTAACATTTGGCTCACCTTGTAAAAGGTGCGCAAAATATATGTACAATGACGTGCATTATCTACACACTAATATATGGACATACAAGTTGTTGATACAAATTTACAGAGATAATAATTTATAGCAATCTTAGATATACATAAAAGTTTACATGATAAAAATGTGAATAATTAGTGAGTTACGCAATAAAAAGACACATTAACGGGTTTTAAGTGAAAGACGCTCATAGGATAATATTTTACTCAAATATAACAGCATAATTGTATTATCTATACGAGAAAAAAAAATTTTAATATGCATATATAGAATATGCATACATAATATGTATACATATATATATATATGTATATGCAATGTAACTTGTATAATTGCATATCAATAGGGAAGTAATGGTTGTGCATTTAACAGTGATTCATTCACTTTTACTAAATCTTTATAACTATTGTTATTGAAAGAATATAGTTACACATAAATATTTTAGGTGCAATGTGTCTAGAAATGAGCATAAATCAATATTTTGCACATTTATAGATTCATACAAAAACGAGATCACAAAGAAATTTTATTATTTATTAAGACATCCATTAAATATTGAAGCTTTGAATGATTATGAGTTTGTTGCATGTAAATTAATCTTGGATCCATAAAGATCAGAGATTATCTTGTCAATAGAAAGAAACTATATGACAATATAGTTTTTCTCTACCACAATGACACCTAAACAACCTTTCTTGGTCGATATATCGATTTATTTTAATAATTGTATATTTCTATAATGAATATATATGTATATATAATAAAAATGTAAGTTGCTTCGATCTAAATGTTATTATGACTTGAACGTCATAATTTCCAAATTAATAATATATGTATTTTGATGTATTATTGATAATTTTACTGATTTTCTGCAAGATGCATTGTATTTCAAAGCATTGCGGAAAGAATAATTTTTTTACAGAAATATAGCTTCTATAATAAACAAAAGACAAAACTCTACTATCATTATTGACTATAATTAGGAACTTCTCTAATGTATTATACAATATATTTAACTTTAATAATATATTTTTTAAAGAAAAAGAGAACAAGCATCAGATTGAAAAGCTATACATATGAGTTTTTATGTCGCTATGTGTTATAGAATAAATTGACATAATTTACATTATATCATTTTTACTTCATGCTCCAAAATGTTTCCTATTCCTAAATACTACGATGAAAATAAATAAAACGTTTAAGAAAAACAATAGTCAACGATATACATAGTATATGTATAAAGACAAATTCTATTATATTTGAAAATAGAATAATCTGTACATAATCGAAATTTGTACGTTATAATTACAAGAATGTTGAGTGTATTTTAATAAATAAGTCATATGTATATATATAATTCAGCGTATAAAAATAGGTATTTATAATAATATTTATAATTATTAAAAATTACTGGGACTATATTGATGGGGGTGCTAATTCATCTTCGTACCTGTAAATATATTATAATGTTTTATCTTTTATATACATGAATTATCTACGAAACGTAGACGTACGTATGTTTTTAAAGAAGTTTTTAAAATTGATAGATACTCAAAAACTAGTACTTAAGAAAATTTCATTACCCAATTAAACTTAATTCGTTTTAATTTAAGATTCAGTTGAAATAAATCTGGTTCATTAGGTTTATGTCAGGGTTGTCTTTTTTCTAAGTATATTTGAACGTAGTCGTCTCAAGGAGGAAATGAGATAACATCATCTTAAGAATGTCTTCCTGAAAAGATCTATTGTGAAAGGAAAACGTGTATATATTCCATGGGAATTTACCCACGATTAACACTTGTATCGCATAATTGAAGAATACTATTGTCTTTATTATTCACAATTTATAAATGTGGATTAATAAGTAATTATATTCTTTAATATCATTGGACGGATACAAGTTTATGTAGTTTCTGATTTTTCTTTTTCGTTCTTTTTTTTTTCTCTTGTTATAATTTATGAATCTCGATATCGTTAAATAAACACTTTAAAAAATCATTTCGCAATATTTTCATATTCACAACTTACGTATAGTAATATTTATTACCTTATTGTCATTTTCAACAATTTTATGTACTATTTAAATAATAAGAAAAATGTCATTTATATCGAAACCGAATAGTATATGCTTTAGCACAAAGTCCTCTGATTATATATGTATAATATAAAGCAGATTAATATTTTACAAAATTCTATGAAAGTCTTATTTTTAAATAAATCATATACAATGCTTTTAGATCATTCTTTTATATAGATATACTTTTATTCCCTTTGTATTATCAATTATACTGTTAATTGCAAATTGAACGGTAAGAGTGAAACAAATAAATCTGGCTTTTATACTTATTTCTAATGTAAAACGAATAAACTAAACAAGTAATTTGCTTGTATTTAAATAATATGGTGTTGAAAAAGTTAATACTGTAATTATAATATTAGAAACATTAAACTTTATGACATTAATTTAAAAAGAAACAAAAAATAAATACAAAAATACCACATAAAAACATAATGAATGTGCTCTTTGCATGATAAAAAAATACCACTTCAACGGTATTGTATAGTAAATATAAACAGTCATTAACAACAATATTTCGATACGGTCAAATTGAGTTTGCCCTAAAATTACTTACATTTTGTTTTACACTTCAAATTTCTAATGGAAAGTATAGTTATTCTTATTCTTCACTCACTCTCTCTCTCTCTCTCTCTCTCTCTCTCTCTCTCTCTCTCTCTCTCTCTCTCTCTTTTTATTTTTTATCACTTATATTGAAAAAATAGAAAAATTTACGAATTATTTTTTAATCGCTTTGGAGGAAATGTAGCTATAAATCTATTTCATTCTTATTGTACGTTGCTTATTCATATTTGTGAGCATTAATGAAATATATGACGTTAACAGATCATCCATTTTATAGCCAAGTGAAGTTTCACACAAAAGTTTCGAGCCTCTTACCAAGTTTCCTATTGTCATATGAAAGTAAGTGTTACCAGATGACCAATTAGAGATTCTAGTAAAAGGATGTGTTATTAATATATCCTAAAAAAGAAGTTATGAGTTTAATTAACATTAATTTATTTTTACAGTACATTAGATATGTAATGTGGACAATCCATATTAAATTACCTTTGTTTGAGGATGTATAACGCTTACTCCATGTTTATTAATTGCAATTAAAAGTAATTCTGGATAATTTGGTTCTGTACTTTGCTTAACTTCAAAGAATGCAGATCCAAACGTTGGCCACCGATAAACTATTTTCAAAAATGTTATTTTGGCATCCTCTGGACTCATTCCTATATAGAAAATGATTGCATTACTACAATGATAAAGGGACATTTACTCGTATGAGGAAATTTCACGAGTTTTTGTATTTTTATACTTACCAGCATCTTGATTATATGCAGCTATTATAGATCTTTTCCAGTCATTAGAATTTTGTATCTTTACCAAATCGCTTGGTATAAGTTCTCTTAACATTTGTCTATTTAAAATAAGTCCAAAATAAGTAACTGATTCATTAAAAATATATTCAATAAAGTGAACAACCCGTACACATGAGTTTAATGAAAAACTTACGGAATCGCCTGAAGTTCTTGTTTACTTTCTCCAAAACGTACTCTATATACCAATGCTGCTAATCTTGAAGCTTCTTCTTTAGTACATTTATGGTATCCTAGAAATGTTCAAATAAACGTGATTATTATATTAATAAAATTGATCTAATTAGACATTTTATGGTATACCTCTGAGTAACTTTGGAAGTTCTTGATGAAAGTGGAATATAAGATCCGCATTTCTGTCTTTCCCAGGAACTGTATTTGTCCATAGCTTTTTCATAAAGAATACTTGATACGAGAACTGGGGCGAAACACCTACGATATGGATATGGATATAGATATGTATATGTATATATAGTTTTAAATTTAATTGAATTTACCTTCCCGCGATGGTCTAGCTTTTCTGATCCAATCTGTTAGGTGCCGCACAAAATCGAAAAAGAAATCACCTTCTGGTACAGAAATGACCTTATCTGCGATTTTGACAAATAAACTAAAACCTTCTGCTGAACGTAAATTAAGCCTTTGCGCAATGTTTTGACAAAAATCCTTTGCTCTTGTAGATGAATCAACCTCAAACGCCTATGCGTAAGAGAAAGAGTTATTATATAAATACTTAACAAATAAGTATATATCGTAATAACTATGCTTACCTCGTCAGTATCATCTGGAAAATAGACTTTATGAAATATTTGTGTTGTCTTATGTTGGATAGCTTCTACTTCCACTTGATGAGGAGGATATTTTCGTTGACCGTTACGTAAAGTTTTTTGAAGCCTTTGTAAAGAATCTTGAGATATAGGATGCCGTCTTGTGCGTAAAAATAATGTTAATTCCTGTAATTAACAATACTTAGCTACGAATGAAATGCGAAGAATTCAAAGAAAAATGATATTATTATCAATCGTACTTTAAGAAGACTTTGACTACAAGTAAAAAGTCCAGTAGTGAGCCACATCAACTCCCACCCGCGTTCTTCGCTAAGTCTATTACAATTTTCGGTTAGTTGCTTCATTATTTGACAATAAATTTCGTCTCTTAATATTTCATTCTTTAAAGGACCATCAAAAATAAGATCAGTGTATTCATTGCCTATTCGAGGTCTTTTGGTTGGCAAATCACCCATATATTTTAAAATAGCATTAAACGCAAAACACGCTTCTTCTGCAAGCTCTTCCTTGGATATTAACTTTTTCAAGAGCGGTTGCTTTATCGGTTCTCTCGAGTGATGCCATAATTCATCTGAATGACCTCTTCTTGCGGTTGTCAGAGTTAAAGCTTTTGACATTGTTCTCTTTGGCGGAATTCTAAAACCAATCAATGGTATATAAAATAAGACAATTTTTATTATTTAATGCGAGATTCATTTTTTACAACAAAATGTATATACCGAAAGTGGTCAATGGCATATTCCATAAGAGTATGAGGTTTGTCTCGAGATTCAACTCCATTTATTTGTTGAGGATATAATTTACGGCCATTTTCAGTACTTTCCATACTAAACAATGCCTATAATAAAAAGGAATATTTTCACATTTAAAGGGTTTGCGTAAGATAGAGAAAGAGAGAGAGAGAGAGAGAGAGAGAGAGAGAGAGAGAGAGAGAGAGAGAAAGATGATAAATTTTTACCAATATATCATTCGGGGGCTTAGTAAGAGACGGTAAAACGTAAACTGTCTCTACAGGGAAATCTCCCTTCTCGCCAGTCCTTTCGCAAGTTCCGACACACCAAGCCGAATTAAGAACACTTTCGCCATTATTGTCATCTTCCAAAATAATAAGATCTCCTTTTTGAAAATTTAAAAATGAGGATCCTTCGCCAGGTGCTTTGTAATCTTGTACTGCTATAACATGTTTACTACGTTTTTTTAGGCCTTCTAAAAAGTATACAACCAAATCACGAATATCTTCTGCGTTAGGGCTCTGGAATGTAAATTCCTCTCCCCGCACCGTCGACAAACTGAATGTCTGTGTAAACATCTTGTTCGTTCTAAAAAAAACGATTTGATAAATAGATTCTGTTACGGTAATGAAATAATTAGATTCACTATCGTAGTACGTACTTTTGACTAGACACGGTGGTAATTTCAGGGAAGGACAATTCCAGAAGCACTTGTTCCTGATCATCAACAACATAAACTCCGGTCCAATTGACAGCTATAATAACGTCGTTCTTAGGCAAATTTGGACCAGAATTTCTATAAGCTTCATAGAAACGAGAAAAAAGTAAAGGCCATTTGAACTTTGCATAGCCTACTATATCCTCCTTAACGCGTAAAACAGGTACTTTTTCTTTTAAATAATAACTCTGTAAGTATTAAAAGTATTATCTTTTCAATCTAAATCTTTTCGTTTTATATGATTAATAAAATATAATCATTGATATTTAACCTTTTTATATGCCTGCAGAACAAGATGTCCCCATCTGTCAATGGCCTTGTCAATACTAGCTAAACAATAATCCGGTATATAATTAGGTAGTAAAGTATATAATCTTTCTGTATTCATGTCCGTATGATACTCTATATAATATTGCTGAGCCGCGATCATTGCCAAATCTTCTTCCTTGTCGCACCGATATTCACCGAATTTAACACCTCTGACTACTTGTTGATATATCAGATTTGTCGCTACTTGATCTTCCGTTGGTTCGTGCCAGGGAGCAAAGATTTCTTTTCGGAAAAACAATCTCCATGGCGCATTTCGTTCCTGTGCACCTTGTTCTTTAGCGTATTGCTCGCATTGAGAAATAGCATCCATAACGTGATCACCGCCGCTACCCAATGATGAAACTTTATCGAATAGCGCGATATAAAGGGAGAATCCAAATTGATCTCTTAATGAAATTTTATCAGATAGTTGATTGCACAATTCTCTAGCTGTGGTTGCTGAATCAGCGAAAAGAGTCTTGGTATTTCCGTCCATGAATGTGATAGGTAGCATAATTGGTTTTTTCGATTTTGTTGCCTGGAGTTCCAACCAACTTGGAGGCTGATTACGAGTACCATTATTGAACGTTCTCTTTAGACGATCTTCGCAGTACGGAGCATAGCCCGGTGGCCCTTCTCTTATAAATGCACGCAGATAGTTGACGAATTTTTCAGACGGAGCGAAACAACCGACGCAGAGAGATAATAAAATCCAGCCACGAGCGTGAGATGATTTAGATGGATTATTCGTTAATTGCTTGCAAATTTGACAATAAATTTCATCTCTTAATTCTGCTCGGAGTATTCCATGGCCAATAATAAAATGTAGTTTTTCCAGATTTGAAGTCGGTCTTGCTTCTAACCAAGATTGATAACTATCCGCTGTGTATTCGTCTTCTTGCAGTCTCCTTCTAACATCCTCTCCTAATTTATTCTTCTTTTTTAAGGTCAACGATACTAATTTTCGTCTAATAGATCGTGGTTTCTGCTTTAAGAATGATTCCTAGCAAATAATGTAATAATATATATATATATATATATAGTTATTGAAACAAATAAAAAATAAAAATAATATAATCTGGACATACTGGATCCATGCCCATCATCTGTGCTTCTTGGAATTCTTTACTTCTAATGAAATTACGTCCGAGTGTTGCAGTTACTTTTGACATGACAGACGTTGTATCTCTGTCCATCGTATGAAAACGTGGCTCTGGAAGATCACCGGTAAAACGGAGTATGGTGATCCATAAAGCTTGAGCAGCCTATAGAAAAATAGCATTACATCTATCAATATCTTATATTTTATCTTTGTAAATATTTGTCAAATATTTTCAACTTACCAGTTGGTCTCCTTGCGTATGCAGGGGCAGTAATGGATGTTTCAATGGCTTCTTTGAGTACTGGTGCGTGATATTACCCTGAAAATACGTAGCTGCAAACTTTTGAAATTTAAATTCGGATAGGTCTTCCTCATCTTCCGAAGCGGTTTGAACCGGACTAATAATTTCTTGCTGATCAGCTTTAGGAGCTGGAAGATCCTGAAAAAGCAAATAAGATGTGCATTTGGATGTGTTGAAGTAAAACATAATTTAATCAGGCACATAATAGTAGAAATAAATAACTAACATTGAAAACAGAAGTTTCCCTGGCTGGCGTCGGTGCTTCGCTACTCGAATCGGGTAAGAAATCAAACATCGCTTCGACTAATTTACTATCGTCAACTGGCTCGTCTTGTTTCTTCGCCGCATCGTTAATCAAATTTTTCTTAATTTCCATCCTGCGTCTATCTTCAAGTTCCATTTCTATCTCTTTTCGTTCCAATTCTTGCATTCGTTCCTGGGAAATTAATTAAAAATTTAAATACTAATATAATAGAATTTTATATTTTATGCTTTAATGCACGCACCCTATAATTTTGTTCAGCGATTTCTTTAGCTCTTTTATTTCCTTGATCTTTCAGTTCGCGTTCTTCTTTCTTCCGCAACCTCAATGCTTCAATGTGCAATCTATACTCGTATTTAATTTTTTTGTACCTTCTTTGTGCTATCAATCTTCTCACGTGCGCTTGAATTTTAACAATTGCCCATAATTTTTTGCGGTACATTTTGCGTACTAAATGACCTCTAGCTCGCGCTTGAAGAGCAACTATATGTCCACGCAAATGTCGAAATCTATGAGAAAGTACTCGTGATCTTATGAGAGCTTGTAATCTCATATAGCCACTCTTCATACATTTGTAACGATGCCGTTGAGCGTAGCCTCTCCAATACTTTTGTATTATCATTGCAGCCGCTCGCATACGTATAAATCTTCTTCTGTAAACCCATCCACGTATATTTCGTTGCAATATCAAAATTTTTCGCGTCAAGACACGATCGCGTTCTTGCTCCAAAAATAAATCGTGTGCATCCTTCAAAAATACTTTAGTGTGTCCTAATTGATAATCCGATCTTCCTAGAACTACATGGCAAATTTTTGAAGTAGCAGCTCGACAATCGACCTATCATAAGAAAGCTTAATTAATTTTTAATAATATATTCATTTAGAAAATATATTATAATTCCTTAATAGAAAGGGAATTTCATATAAATGAAATATATTGACAATATGATAATATTTTGAGTGATATACTTTGTGCGCAGGTGGTACACCCGATATAAGGAATCTGTATCTCTCAACGAACTCATGAAAGGAATGCCTGATTGGATATCCAGCTCTACGTATTCTAATTGTTTCCATCATTCCAGAGTATCTTAATTGTCGGCAACACAATCCTCTATCGAACATCTAACAATAAGATAATTTTGAATTATTGAAACAATGATTTTCAAGTTATAGTAAATTTCATTTTATAGTAGAATATTATAGAATATTACTGAATATTATTTTGATTTGATGCCGAGACGTACCATAGGTTTTTTATATTCGTTAGGTTTAATACATCTTATGAAAAAAGGCTGACAGCTGCATAAAGTTTTCATAAGGGAATCTAATGACTTTTTGAACTGAGTCGACAAAGTTGGTGCTCTTTTTCTAGTTTCAGATCCCATACCAATATCCTCGATGAAGCACGTTTGTAAAAATTTATTTGAAGATATATGAATGAGTTGTAACAAATCAGCGCTAAACGTGTCTCTATTTTTTTCGAGAAAACTTCTAGTGTCATAGAAAACAACACCTGCGAAATGGTTCAATCCAAATGAAGTATTGATATCCGATTTTGGTTTCAAGTAATTTCTGTGTGTCCCATGAGTCTTATGAATCTTTGCTAACATCGTTTGGTCCGTTCCCTGAAAACGCGTGGGTTAAGTATAATTATTTACAATTAATTAAAAAAAGTAAAAAGTACAAAATACGTACTTTAGGAAACTTTGATTCTTCATCGATAAGTGCCATAATATTTAATTGCTTAATAGCTATTAAATCTAATGCATCTTGATTGTCGACGAATTCTATATGCTGCCAATTAATACCTTCGTGATTATATTCTTCTTGTTCTAGCTTAAAGATATGTTGTACAAAAAATTGTTGAAGATTTTCATTCGCGTAATTAATGCAAAATTGCTCAAAGCTATTGTGATTAAAATTTTCAAAACCAAATATATCAAGAACACCGATGGCACTGCGCGAAGTATTCTTCGGTCTGTAAATAGCTTCGTTAATTTTTTTCACAATATGTATAAATAATCGCCCGTATATTCCTTTAACGAAAGCGTCTCTTATATCGACCGATTGTTCCCTTGACAACGTGGAAACCTATTTAATTAAATATACATTAATTAATGATATAAACAGATTCAATCTTATTCATTGTGGCTAAAACTTACTACAGTCTCGCCGTGAGCAAATATTGTTTTTCGTGTAAGAGCATCTATCAATGATTGTACTGGAACACCCAACAAATGCGCTACTCTCTGAACGTTTGTCTGTTCTGGTATTTCCGTTGCGTCCAAATTATCTATAAGTCAATTACAAATAAATGAATTACAAAATTATAACTACAAGTGAAACAGAGAGAACTAATATTCGTAGATTTTCTTAAACATACCTACGACAGTAGCTCTGTATTTAATGTTTCCCATATGTAACAAAGCTGCGAGGAGCTTTAAAACCTCCCATATTTCGGAATCAGTAAACAACAATACTTTCATAGCTGATCTTATATCAGCAAATTCGGCAGCATCGTCTCTCCCCTCGCACGTTATACTCCCTCCCTAAATAATATTATATCTAGTAAATATAATCGATATAATCAGTTTTACTTTTTAAGATTTACGAGTAAGATTCCTCAAGGCGGCGCAGCGCGTAAAAAAGCGATAGCACAATAAGAGAGCGCAAAAGTGAGAAACCACTGCGTTACTTACTCCCGTTAGATACCTGTACGACGAGGCATCCTCAAGTTCTAGCTTTTGTTTTTCTTCCTTTGACAGTCCAGCCAGCATACAATAAAAAACATGATAATTCCTTTCGTCTAAGCTTTGAGACACGATGCGGGATTTTTCCAAAAGATATTGTTCTATCTTGGCACCTTCTATCACACCATGCTCGTTAAAATGAATATCTATATATTTACCGAAACGAGAGGAGTTATCGTTTCTCACAGTTTTCGCATTACCAAAGGCTAAAATGAAAATAGAATATTGATAGGATGTCTACAATATTTGTACATATCGATTAAACATATATTTGTATATATCGATTAAACAGTACCTTCTAATATCGGATTTGCTTCTAAGATCTGTTGTTCTATCCAAGAGTGCTTGCCGCTGATTGCCGCTAAATATTGTAAAATTAATTTCGTACTCTCAGTCTTTCCTGCCCCACTTTCGCCACTGTAACAATATTATTGTCAATAGTATCCTTAATGTCAATTTTTAACGTCACACGTCATTAAGGAATGAATCCTCATTCACGAAAATTTCAGGAAAAGTAAATAACGCAAGAGTACACGCAAAGAGATACCTAATTACTATACATTGATCTTGACCGTATCTGTTCATGTGTGCATAACTGTTATCGCCGATAGCAAATATGTGAGGCGGAAGTTCTCCAATTTTGCGATCCTTGTAGAGCTTTATTTGTTCCGCGGTGTAAATAGGCAATATCTGATATGGATTTACGGCGACCAATATGGAGCCGGTGTAAGTCTGTAACAGGTTTCAAATTTTTATGAGTTTCATATTTGTTTTTTCCTCATTCAGTTTGCTATAATTGCATAATATATTAATATTGTAATAAGAAATTCATTGGACAATTAACTTATTAATGTAATTAATTAATTTATTAATGTACTATGAAAGAATGTATAAAATATCAATTACTAACATAAATGAGATTCTCGTTATAACGTATCAGTAAATTTCTCAAAATGCCAGCTTCATGGAGGTCTCCTAAGCTGATCATATCTTCGACACCTTGCACGGACGTGGCGTGCATAGCCTTTATTCGTCTCTCCGGAGTCAGCCATTGCTCCTGTCGAAAATAAATTGTTCCTTCGAATATAAAGGTGAAAAATAAAGAAATGTTCCTAAGAAATCGAATAACTCTAACTCTTGTCACACCTTATTATCGTCGTCCTTAACTTGGATCCGTCTACCTTCTGCCGAAATCACTCGTGCTCCGATCGCAACGTCAAATTCTCTTCCCGATATCGGTTCGATCCATATGTAATCTCCCTGAGAATCAACATCAATATATAAATGAACAAAGAACAATAAATTCGTCTGTTAATTTTTTGAAATGCGTACGCGCCCACGATTGTCCATTTTTTACCCTATATATAAACCTGTCTACTTAAACCCCTACAATAGTAAATATTAATTACTAAATATTCAAATTAATTCTCTTATCCGTTAATGCGTTACACTTCGTGGGGAATGATAATGATAAGTGTGTAGAGGGACCTTAATAATAGGAACCTTATATTACGCTATAACTCTGAATGCGACTATTAACTACCTTATAGATAGAGGTAGTTGCTGCTTTTAATTCGAAGAATTATCAATTGCGAATTATCATTGTTCTTGTCTTTTCCTAATGAAAAGAAATGGTTTTTTTTCTAGACGGTTAGCCGATAAACACTTTATCGCTAACCGTAAATCTTGCAAAATTGCGACAGTAAATCGCAAAAGCTTTTGCTCGATTATTATTTATATCTTTCTCTCTTATCAAAAGATGATCAAATAAAAAGAGAGGAGAAAAGGGCGAAGCATCGATTCAAAGTTCGATCTAACACGATTTTATTATGCAGCTCTATTTCACGTCATTCAAAAAGAGTTTAACATTTTTGCGTGATTAAAGATAAAAATTGATTGATAATAATTATACTCTAACTTTAGATATTATTATTTAGATGTATAATAGTAAATTAAATATATTAAATGAGCGTTCTCTCTAAACGGTATCTTAACATACACGATGTTCTAACGCTTGCCGTAGAATCCCATAGAACTTTGGCTGATTATAATGGTCTATGCTTTCCGGTTGTCCGTCTCATCGAAGGATATTATGTCCGTTCGTCGATTTTAAATGAAAATATATTCGATTCGCCTATTTTATTTTTCCACTCCAATCTATAATGATTAGATCTAGTTTGAGAATTATAATGTTGCTTTCTAACATTCGTTTATATTTCAAAAGAAGACTCCGTTAATCTTTTGTTTTCGATTATGGCTTTTGAAGTGTTTTAACAGTCATCTATTGAAAATAAATAGAGAAAAAACATAAGGTACAAATTGGAAGATACGAATCAAAGGCACGTCCGGCAGACGACTCTCGTACCGTTACACGACAGCTAGATCGTTCGTGCGAACGATTCCGAGGTGTTGTACAGGGCATTAGCGCGGTAGTAAAGGACCGTTAACTATGCCTAATTAACCGATCGCGCGTTTCTATAGGTATGTTTCTATATGTTTCTCAGAAAGATGCAGACATTTTCTTAGTTCTCTTGTCCAAAACTTTATTCAATATTAGTAAGCAAAAATAATATTGTCAAAACAATTCGTTTTATCGAATAAATGTATTTACTTCATTTATTTTTTCTACATTTTCTTTTAATTATTTACCAAAAACCTTCCGCTCGGTCGTAAGAACCTTTCGATTGAATTTTAATTGAATAAGAGAGAGAGAATGAGAGACAAAAAGAGATAAAAACATTCCCGCGAATATAATAAAATTTGAAAAGGTTCTCGCGAATAACAGAGTGTTATGTTAGTGACCGTCTTGAGAAAAAGGAAAGATAAACGGCACGAGTCACAATCGATAGAATCGATCGTGCTCAACTAGACGAGCAATTGATATTATTTTCCTCTATCGATATCGAAAGAAAATTCCTTTTACAATAATGTTCTCGTTTCGACGATTTATTATTAAGAATAGTAAACTTACATTTAAATATAATAAAAGAAAAGGAACATCTTACCCGCGTAACGATGACCATCTCTTAAGTCGTGGTTGTCGGCACTCCACCTAAAGCAAGACAAATATTTTCATTTCTCCATCGTTTCTTTCCTTAGTTCTATTTCTTTTGAATATCTATATACGCATCATGAAGAAATGAAGTTAAACCGCGGAGCAAGAACATCGGAAGCGTAAATACAGGTTATGCAGTAAACTACAGTGACCGTCTACATTTTACTTCAAGGATGATACTAAGGATAGTTTGATTGCGATTACGATCGTCTATTCGCTGCTAGATATACTTTGATATGTTTCGTCTATTTTTCTTCTTTGTTTTTGTCGCTATCACCAAGAATAAAATCGACGAACGCAATTTTCTATCACCGAGTTGAATAAATTGTCTCGTTGTCAGTAAAAAGTCGCATTAAAAGTATCGAAATCAATTAATAATCAAGCAAACGTGTGATTGTATTGATGATTAAGCGGTTTTTATAAATGACTAGTTTGGGATGTGAGTTATAAGTATGTACATATGCATGTGCGTAGAGGAGAATTAAAGCTGAGAAAAATCATTCTTGCATACGTCGACGATCTCTGCTCGATCACCGTTACAGTGGAAGCAGCATAAACCTGTTTGTAAAAGTGGGTTAGAGTAGTTCGTGCTGCCAAGCCATACGGATCCACGGCAGGATCCACTAAGAATCCTCTCGATCCGATCGATCTTTTTCTCCTCGATGGATGTGATAGATTTAAAACGAAAATTGTCACAAATTCCACGAATCCATAGGAGAGAATAAGCGAAACGACGCTTATCCGAGCGTAGAAATGTAATCCCAATGGAATCGCGTTCATCACTCAATGAGGAGAAATATCACGCTCGATTCGTTTCTAAAAGAACGTTTTGTTCAGTGTACGCCGATGAGATGTCAAATTTAGGTTCTGATAGTTCCACAACAGTGAACACATTCCTGTCGAACGCTGTTTCGAAAAGGAGACAACAGCAACGTACAAGATTTATTTGAAGCCAACTATTTTTTATTTATGCACACATATAAAGAATTAAACATTGATCATTATTTTATTGTTATTGTTAGTTTAATACTACATAGCCACGCAAGCTCGTAAATAAGATCAATGACAATATGTAAAGATCGAGTGTGTTTTGTTAGGCATTGCTGACTATTTCGAAGAAGATAAATATAAATACGATTATTTCTCGAATCTTTGAATCGACATTTAATGTCGTATGTGCATATTTTAATTCAATCTCTCGATTTGTCAAAAGTAGGTTAAGCGGCGGCAGCATGTGTTTACACGCCGAGCTCGAATATCCCCGTGACACATTCAAAGTATATATGTAAGTATGTCCCGTTGTTACGTTCATATTTCGCGCCTTTCCGTAAACTTTTACTGCCGGCGGCTGCTATGCTTTCTCGTCGACTGTCCCTTATTGTTAGAATTAATCTTATACGTATGGAAATAAACAAAACATACGCAAATATAAATAAAAATAATCAATAGATATTTCTAATATAAATATTACTAAGCACATGAGTTTCGATGTCGAAATACAACAAGCAACATCTTGATGGTTTCATCTCTCTCTCTACGTTTGTTATAATAATATATTATATATAGATTATTATAGCGTAAAGAACTAGAGAGTTTCACTACGAACTTGAAATAAGGAAAGTATAGAGGAGTCGCAGTCATTGACTTTGAAAGTATCTAACGAGCGGTCAGTACCGTGTGCAAGAGACTTTAACGGGCGATCAAACAACGACGCGTAACCAAAACATGCGTTACGATGAACTACGTGACTTTCCAACTATGCCCTTGATTGTATTTCGACTTCATTTGCCTTAAATACTTGTCTTTATACTCATTTTTATTTGATTACTCGAGCTTAATCTCAGCTTTACAAATAATGTCTCTTTTGTAAAAATACATACGTGCCATCGGATATGGCCGCCATTGCAATCCGACATGACAACGAGTGTCGTTGAAAAAATATGTATACTAATTCTTTATACGCATCGCGATTCGAAAAGAGATAAAACGATACGTACGCGTATACGCGCGTACGCTAAGTGTTCGCATATTTCTTCATGAATCATCCCTACTTTCCTCTTCTTCTGTTGTTACACAAATAAAACCAAGATTTTGCACTTTCCACGTAAATAGAAACTATCGATCGACGAATCGGAAGACAACCCAAGGATCGTGCATCATCGATTAATCAGTGAGTGACGTCATGCGAAAAAAAATCAAATCAAGACGCACATTTAAACGATTGTTAAGTTTCAAATGCCTTCATATCTACAATTAAACTTCTTTCTTTCTCTCTCTCTCTCTCTCTCTCCGTTTAACGTTTTTTACACATACTTTACACAATCTACATACAGATTCATAACTTACGTATGCAATAAGTGTCACTTAAAATCATGCACTCTGAAAATCAGTTAAAATTATCGAGTTAATTTTTGTGCAGTGAAAATGCATAAAAATATATAAACCATATGCAAAACATATGCAACATAGAAAAATCCGCGCGCGTAATCTATTTTATTAAAGTAGTCATTCGGAAAGTCATATGACAATAATTAATAAAAGAATTTTAACTGATTTTCATAGAGGACTATGAGTCAGTGTAACAGTGAATTTCAAAGAGATACGATCAATTATCATTCATTTAAAATATATCTAATGTACATTACTAATATTATGGTTTGTAATGTATTTCCTTTGTTTTTATAATTATACCAACTCTTAGAATTTTTAGTATACCACATCAATAGTTTTCAAATAAAAATCTAGTAAGCGTAACGATGCAAAATTTTAACTGACACTCACTGTACGTGTATACGTAACGTAGAGATATGTATGCAGGAACTCTCGCGGTAATCGATCGCCAAATGGATTTAACACAACTAGTAGAAACACCGATTATCGCACTCAATCATATTGCGTTTCTCTTTGAGAAGAAAGAAATATTTCATTTGTTATTAAGAGAAATTGCTTTCATAGATAATCAAAACCTCGAATTTTGAAGCAACGACAAAGATTGTTAATTCTTTCATCAAAAACATCTCCCCACGAACACGATATGTGTGACACGACCAAGTTATTTCTTTGTCGCAAAAAGTAACTTCTACTTGGCTTCCATTCGTCATAAGTCATACAAATATGCAGTAAAAACCGACGGACTGAGAAAGGAATAGAGAGAGAGAGAGAGAGAGAAAGAGAAAGAGCAAAAAAGGCTCGTCATACCGCCATAGATCTTCGTTCGATAATTCTCACAAGGACGCGTTAACACGAAAGATTTAGCAATAAAAAAACGTGTACCCATGCCGAAGAATGCTAGTTAAAATTTCCTACGTAAATTTACAAGAACGATGTACAATTCGTTCAAGTACTACATTGTCGCATTCAAAATGAACGAATTTGTTCGTTCCGCATCACGAACGTGGCTATTTTTTCCCTTGTACATACGTGGCGGCGAAGTGTTGGAAGAAGTGAGAACTAAGAGTAATAATAGAGATAGTTGGTTGGATAGATAACTAATTATATATATATAGAAAGAAAGAGAGAGAGAGAGAGAGAGAGAGAGAGAGAAAGAGAAAGATAGAGAGAGGGAGAGAGAAAGAGAGAGAATTATCGAGACTCGGTCTCGCGTATTGTATTTTAGCTAAGTTAATTACCTTGCGCGAGTAACGATAAGCACGGCGAAAGCAGGTCTCTGCTAGAAGTCGTCGGTGCGCTCCATTAAACTGCACTGCACTGCACTTAACGTGGACCGGCGCGATACACGCTTTTCATGTCCGAAAGAACTCGATCGGCGGAATACACCGGGTATAAACGAACGCGCGAAAACTACTTGTTTTCGCTTATCTTTTTTTATGCGACAAGTTACAGGTGCGTTGAGTAGAAAAGAAAGAGGGAACTTTTAATAATGGATGAGGTGTGCGCGCGAAACAGAACAAAAGAAACAAATGTGGGAAGAAAAAAAGTAATTAATAGAAAAGTTGGAAAAGCATATGTTTTACAAACGTAAAATTGGCGAAAATGACGACGACGAGAATGATCCAAAGGACGGAGATAGCCGTGGCTCGTTCCGAAGGATGGGCCACGGTGCTTCTGACCGGCACGTAAAATAACGCAACCACTCTCGGCTACCTTCGGCACGGTTCGGGCGTAGTCAGGTGGAAGGCAGATTATGGAAGAGGTGGAAAAGTAGCAACGGTATGAATCATATATAGAAATGATTTACTAGTCAAATCTACGGCATATGTCTACGAATGGTTAAATCGTTCATGTTTTCCCGTATTTTTCATTTCCTTCAATTTATTTTTCACTTTTTGCTGAATTGTCTAAATGCATTATCTTTCGGTATGCGTTGTTTTTATCTATAAACCTTCTCTATTTACTACATTTTCTCATTGCGTTATGGTAACTTTCGACCGATAGAAATGATCAATTCGGAATTTCGAACATTCGTTATTTGTTATTGAAATTTTATAGAGAACGCGATAGTTCCCTACGCCCCATCCTACTTTTATATTTAGGAATATTAATTGTTTATAATAGAACGATAAAGAACGTTTCAATCATATATTAATGAAAAAATAAACGATATTATCATTAACGTTGAAAATATATTTTTTACTTCATTTGTAATCGGTTTATACCAATTTATATACTATTGGATGTATACACAGATTTTTTTTTTCTTTACAGTACTATATATATATATATATATATATATATATTATAATATACATACTAATGCATAAAGTTGATGTTGAGATACAGCGATCGCATTATCGAAAATGTTTANTATATATATATATTATAATATACATACTAATGCATAAAGTTGATGTTGAGATACAGCGATCGCATTATCGAAAATGTTTATTATAAAGTAACATTCTCTCAACATAATATGAAATGTGTATTTATGTAACGAGAATAATTCTGATCTAAAAAAGTTCAGGTAGTATACATTTCGTTAGTGATAATTGCCATTTTCTTAAGCGATTAATAAAATATTTTGCCTAAGGGACGTAGCAGTAAAAAAATGTTCATCAAAGAATCTTACAATAAACATAGACTTTGTTAAATTATCTTACGAATGTACATTTTTATATATATGGTACTTTTAAAAGTTTCGTGGGTAATACTTAATATACAGCAATTTTTCGTCCTAAATAAGATAATTATATTAGTCAATTAATAGCACTTTTTGTTATATATATATATATATATATAAAAAGCACTTACAATTTATTTTAATGTTTATTACATTCTTCGTTAACATACAAAATATTGATGATAGTATGTAAAAATACTATAAATGACCCCAACAAAACGAGTGTAATTAAATCTTTTAACATAACTTGATTGAACTTCAAAATGAAATCGATTTAGAACAACGTTAAAAATGAAGACAATTTGTCTTCTAAAAAAAGTTGTAATATATTTTTTATAACAGAATAATATACTTCTTATCATAACCATCTATACTCGAATTTCAATATGAAAGTCAATAGTCCTTATTTTTAAATTTAGTTTAATGACCATTTTTTACTTTCAGGTACGAGACAAGCATACAGATAATTGAGTAATAATCAATTAGAGGAAAAATTGTATGAAAGGTTTAATGTAATGACATAACATACATTGAATCCTTAACATACATATAACATTACATGAATCTCCAATATTAAGATTTTTATGTCATTTGGTTGACATATATTCTGTTATTACGTTTTTTACATAACAATTTATGACAACTAGTTTTATGGAAGCACGAGAAGACTATTGTGTCTATAAAATAGTAAGTTTTAGAAACTATAATAAGTTTTGGAAGGATGTGATGTTTATTGTTTTTTTATCTTCTATGTTGAAATAAGTGAATTTATGACTAAAAGATGAAAAGACGAAGGAAGGCAGACATGGTCAGAAAAGGAGTAAAAACCATTTAAAAAATAAATTAAACATTTTTGCCTAATAGTCATCGGTGAAAAGCAAAATTCTTGTAAAAGCTATTAGTTATTTAAACAAACATTAAAGGTAAAGACTCTGCATAATTTATTTTAAAACATATTTTGCTTATGTATATATATAAGAATATATATAAGAATATATGTATATAAGAATAACATAATAGTAATTAACATAACAGCCATAGTTCATAAAATTAATATACAGAATGACTAGGAGTTATTAAAATTATTATATGAAATTATCATAAGTCTTGTGACTTTACAAACATTACATCTCTCTGATAAGTTATATGCATATATTTATATAATTATGAGTTTATAATTATACAAATATTCGTATGAAATATCAAAAATTCGAATTTTTAAATGAAAAGCCTTATCGAACCGATAATGAAATTCGCGTAACATATTTATAGCTATATAAAATAATCATTATTATGCAATCAATGAAAATCGAAATAAAACGCAAGATAAAAAATATTAATGTATATAATATAAGGATACATATCCTTTATCTCCATAAAATATATGTAATATATTTTTCAAACCGATCAACAACAAAATATAATAAAGTTAATGTTACATCGTGCAGTGCTACAAGTGTTTTATTTTACGCACATATACATATAGTATGTGTCATATATGCCTCGAGAAACCATGAATAAGTATGAATAAACTACATATTTTTTCTAAAGATTTAAACAGCAACTGTATAGAATAACTTGATTCAATAAAAAAATACCTACGTATGATATAGCCATATTATAGTTTATATATAAAAACTGCTGGATGTACCTTGGAAAATTTTAATTAGAAAAATATTGAAGAGTCGTAAGATTGATATTAATAGTCTCACTTTCTGTCTATTTGTCTGCCTCTCCCCCGCTCTTCTCTTCTCCATTTCGGTTGTCCCATATACCTCGGCATCATATTTTATACCTGAGATATTAAAGTATTGTTTCTTGAAAGTAACTTTATCATTATTCCAAAAATAGATAGATCGCTTTTAACTTTAGTCTTCTTTTTTGTTCCAATTAATCGCATCGAGTCTACCGTATATGAGAAAATATATTCACATCTAATGCTGCTGGTTTTATAAATATACAAGGAATACATGAGTATTTGGTGCAAAGAAGTATCGATGACTTGAACTTTTAAAAACTATAATTACAATTCTACTTTGTGTAATTACGTTTGCAATATTACTTCGTTATTTCTACAAAAAAATTCAACATTACACAAAGTATATCTGAATTTGTAATTAGAAATAATAACATAATCACAAAAATACGCTCTGGATAGCACATTTTTTAAATGGTTTAAAAGTGATAACAGTTTTTCCGTGTCATATAATTTGATTTGTTTGGAAAAAGCATATATACTTGCAAGTTCACTGAAGCAGCGCAGAAATATCCCATATTTTAATTAAGCGATCCTGACCGATGGTCAGTAATCTTCGACGTGGAGCATCCAAATCCATTCCAATAATACTATGTTTCGCGTCATGAAACGATGCGAGAGATGTTTGGCTGTGCAAAGAAATATGTATATATAAGAGTTAATCGCGATGGTAATTTTGTACTAGATAATACCTACTTGGCAGCTTTAAGTTGAATATGGCATGGATCGCACACTCGAACTTCAAACTCAAATCCCATGGATGGGATCGGTGTCCTTTGAGAGGTGCAACGAGCGCACAGAGCACGTCCGCAATGACGACAATGATGCTGTCTTAGTCCTATTTGACGCTGATCCATCATTGCTTTAATATTCCAGAAAAATGGCCTACCGCAAGCCTATATATAATCAAAATTCTACATGTAATCTATGATCGCATAATAAATTTATCAATCACATAGCTTAAATAATATATGAACGTACTTGACACGTATCAGACTCAACCCAAGGTGCAGTTTCTCTCCTATTTGCAGCCATATCCCAACAAACAATTACGGCATCTTCTCCTCCGGATAGTAGTATACGTTCTGTGCTCGCATAACAAAGTGCTGTTACTTTGTTGCTGAAAAATATTGGACATATTTATAGAAAAAAAAAAAGAAGAAAAAAAAATACAAATAAAATCTTATAAATTATATAACATTATATAACATATAAATATGTGTTACGATAAAACTGCTTCAAATTACTAAAATCTCCTATCTTATGTATTAGAGTTACTTTAGCTTACTGATGGCCTTGAAGTTCATACGCTGTGCCTTGACGTCCTCCGATATCCCACACTATAATACTTTGATCAAAACTCCCGGAAAACAGAAGCTGCTTTTCAGAGTCCCATGCTAAAGTATGAATACTTCCAGTATGAGCTTTCAGCATGGTAATGAAAGTAACACCGTTAGCATCCAATTTTAGCATTGCTATTTGTCCAGAATAATCTCCCACAAAAGCATGTTTAGATTGCGCATCAAATCTGAATTAGTTATATATAAGCTGATATATAAATCAAAATATTTAATAAACAAAAAAAAACTGTGTACTCTTTTTCGTCTAAAGAGAATCTTTATAAAAAGGATACTGCAGAGCGGTGTACCATGCATCCGTTTGATACGATCCTAATTTCCTTCCAGTATTGGAACAATGTAATTGAAATAATTTATCACGACCTATGCTTAATACCCATTCACAATTAGCCGCGTATATAACTCCAGAAACTCTTGCTTGATGAGCTAAATATTCGCGCATACCAGTCATACGATTATAATCTTGTTCCAAAAGAAATTCCTAAAATAATGAATTTTAAAATAATATTTTAAAATATTATTTCTTAAAAAGACATTTCCCTAAATCCATTTGGTATATATATATCGCATACATTTATACTTCCATTTTCAAGTCCAACAAACAATTGGCGCGTTTCTACGGAATAATGCATAGAAGTAGCACCAACAGGCATGTACTGGCAAACACTTGGCCAATACTGCCCAGAGTCTCGTTTCAGCCATACTCTGACAGTTCTGTAAAAAAGAAATACCTTATCTAATAAAAAAATCTTTCAATATTTATATCCAATGTCTAAGGATGATCAAAATTATATGAAAATAATCCATACAAATAATGAAGCATATTTCAGAATTTAAAAAAATGTTAAAAAATATTGAAAAAAATTAGTCACTGAATAGATTGACAAATGAATAAGTAATGAAATCTATAATGCCAAATAATTAACATACAATGAGAAAATAAGAAATAGGGAAGAAAATGATGAAAAAGAAATAATATGAGAGGTAATTAAATAAAACGTATTATAATATAGGGGGAGGCAGATAAGTTATCAGTGTATAAAGCGTCACATACCTGTCATCGCAAACGCTAATTACCCCGTCTTCCCGTGGGATGATAATAGCCGCGTTAACATCATCGTTACACCCTTCTAATTTAGACAAAAGTACGGGCTTGCGACTGGAACTAAACTTATCATTATTCCCTCCAGATGTGGGTTTTATTTCTGCTGCCATTTCAAAATCAAAGCAGTAACCTTATAAATGCGAATGTCATTTGACAGTTGCCGGACTTCGACGTTATTCACAGTTTATGAATCGTCAGAAAGTTAGAGGATCAAATTCGAAAGTGCGCGACAGCAGAGATTCTGTCGATAGAAAATCACATTACTTTCCTACGATAGTAAGAATCGATCGGTAAAGTAAATTACGCTTTAATCGACCCTGTTGGTATTATTCTTCGTAGGCGGGAAAATATAAATATTCAATATTTTTCAATTCGATACTATTACCAACAATAAGAAAGTAAAAATGTGAGAAATAATGCACACGAAATAACGCTATGCAAACGGAAACGTTTCTAACGCTTCGTTGTTTAGTAAATGACTTTCTTGTCCCTTTCAGTTTCTTTAAGAGAATCATTAATTATATTAATACGAGAGTATGGAAATGAATGTATTCTTCGATATTCTTCGATATCAATTGCGTCAATGTTTTCTTTCTTATTCGAGAATAAATTCTTATCTTCCACCTGTTCACACCTACGTGAACTACGCGATTAGTTTAGCGAAGAATTGCCATCATTTGCCACGATCCAACCAGAGAATCGTTTGGCATGGCGGCAAAGAACCTGTTCTGTTTAGTTCACTTCAACTTATTGTTAGAATAAGTAGTGACTATCATGACTGGTTTTTTCACTTACGTAACTTATTCCTATCAAAGTGAATATTTTCTATGAATCGTATCAGCCTGAGTCGTGACGAATTTGGTCAAGATTCGAATAAAGATTAACGCCAAAGTCGAATAGAAACGTGAAAAGAAGTGTAGGATATTAGTTTGGCAGAGAGAGTTACGATCAAATCGGCCGAACGAAACATAAACAATCACCATGGCAAAGTACGAGAGAATTATGTAATCGTAGTATTATCTAATTATAGCAGAGCGCACGGATAATTTTAATTCAACGATAATGTCTTCCTCGCTTTTGACATGTCGTAGTTATGAATGGTTCTCTCTCTCTCTCTCTCTCTCTCTCTCTCTCTCTCTCTCTCTTTCTCTCTCTTATTTCCTCCATGTGCGTGTGTGTGTTATTATTTTTCTCTGATTATGTCTCTCTTCAAATCTTTGATATTTGTTAAAGAAAATGGTGACTTTAAACTCGTGTGAGTGGTTCTGTGTGATACAATGATGTAACGATAGCTGAAACTTGGTCATGGCTTTACTAATAAATAGCATACATGTAATATTTGTGTAATCAAATTATTATTTGTATTTATGTATTTAGATTCTAATTTGTATGTATTGCGCGATTAAAGTATAAATATTTCTTACACGTAGTGTAATGCTATATAAAAATGAACAAATAGAAAAAACTTGTCGATCTTTCTAAACATTTCATGTAAAATACATTCTAATGATTTTAATTATACTATTCTGTGTTATATCGTATAATTCTCTACTCGCAGGGAAATGATGATAGTATTCGTTTTTGACACATCAAGATGTTGCAAAGAAGAAGATGATCCTGGAGAAGCAGTTATGTACTTTCATCCGGCATGGGTATCACCTACCCAAAGACTCGCTTTAGCAGGCCAATTAATGGGTATTAATCAATTCTTAGCAACATCATTTTCTCCACCACATTCAGTTTGCCTACAAGGTGGAAAATTTGTCTTTAAAAAATTTGGCCAATATATATTGGTAAGTAACAACAAATTAATCTTAACTTGACTTCATCAACATTTGTAACATTAGATTCAAATATTCCTCGAGTATTTGTCAAGTTAAACGATCCATAATTATGATTACAGGCAGTAGGAACGGACAGGAATATACATGATTGGGTTTTAGAAAGAAGAGCAAATACTTTGGAATCAATATTGACGTTTTTTCACTGTGATCTCGTAAAAATATCCGAATCTTTCAACAACGATAGAAACAAATTTACTGAGAAGCTATATCAAATGTTTGAAACTTATTTACCAATTCTTCAATACAGTGCCAATTTATTTTCTAATATCCCTGTTATTAAACTTCCAAAGGTTTATACGAATTCAAATGATAAATAATGTTTTTCATAATAGTCTACAAAATTTGATGTAAATATATATTTTCAATTTACAGAGTGCCAGTAATATATTTTTGGAAGCAATACAAATTTTACAATATTGCCAAGAGACTAATGGAATAATGGGTGGTGCTCTATTTTACAATAACAAGTAAAGAAAAGAATAAAATATTATTTTCTAATAGAAATGAGAGAAATAATAATAGTCTTAATATTCTTATTCCAGGGTAGTTGCTACACAATTAAGCGCAGATTTAACTAAGCAAATAGTTATAATGGATCCATATAGAATAAAGGTATAGTATCATCATTTTAAGCAGTTATACACGTATATGCATTTGAATATTTACCTTAGAATCGTCCTAACTTGAATATTTTTTCATCAGGCGCCTGCAGAGAGAGTAGATACAGAATTTCATTTGCCTGTAGGAGTTCAGTTGCTACGAGTATATATAAAAGAAAAGCAATATACTGAATTAGTGCAGGAAGCAAATAACGAACGTTACTTAAATTCGTATGTGGATTCTATGGCACAGAAATTGTCTTCTCAGAAAAAGGTATGGTTAGGTTTAAATATCTATATTCTATTAATATATTTTTATATGTGCATATATATTTGTAGAGCATGCGTAAGAACAGTATGAAAGAACCACATATGTCTGGAACAAAACGCGACATGTCACGAATTTTTACGGTACCTGAAGAAGGAGAGTTAGAACCAATGCACTGCAATAATGGTACGACCAATATTTCTTCTCTTCCTATCACTGTATATAGTTCACCGGTGAAGTGTAAGCAAGAGTATAAAATAGAATCTAATGAATATACGAATCCACAAACACCAAGCGTATGTTCTACGCCTCTGAAAGATGTAAATAGAGTGCTACACGGATCAGCTGTTCTAATATGCAGTATGAACGATAGTGCTGATATTTCGAAAGAAAAACAAGAAAAAGAATTGAAAGAAATAAAAGAAAATATGGATGACATTCCAGATGTGGTCAAAGAAGCGCTTCGTTGTAAACATTTAAACAAACTAAAAAATCCTTCTGCCAGAAGAAAATCATGGAGAAGCAAAGACCCAATAAAAAAAAGTTTAAGCACATCCGATCTAGAAATTTCTTTGGATAAGATTTCGTCTGACATTCCACTTAGAACATATACATTAGGATTACCAAATTTAAATAAAAATTTGCATGTTAATTGCGACATGGATATGTTAACTAGTAAATTATTGCCAGAAAAAAACACTTTCCATACGATAACTGATCCGTGTTATCCAGTATTTCGTTCTGACGGATTACCTGTTTCGCAAGCATTATACGAACAATACATAGCTTCACATTATGAGGAACTTCAAGATGATAGCGCCACAATAAATGATTACATAGACAATCGTTTTCTTTGTTTACCCGATTCATTAGAATCATCGAATAAAGTATCTAAGGCATACAATGAAAATGCTAGCAGAGATCTAAAGAAAGATGAAATTGCTGCACCTTGTGATGCAAAAGTTGATAACAAAAGTAAACAAGAATCTAATAGAAAAGGTATGAGTTTACCTTTGAAACCGCTAAATATTTTGGATAATGATGATAAATGTAAATCAGAATCCGAATGTAATAACGAATACAATTTTTTGCAAAAAAGAAAATTAGAAGGATTGCAATTAACACCTCTTATGTCTAAATTGACCTTACTTGCCGATGAGCGTACCAGTGGTTTTTGCAGCAAAGAAACAACACCTAGCGAATTTCGTGATATATTTGGATTTTCTTCTACAACAAATCAGTTAGTGAAACAGAAATTAGAAGCGGTAAGTAAGGAAACGGATAAAGAGAATGAAAGTAAATCTGATGAAAGTGAATGCGTCGGTGCTACTAAAGATGAAAGTAATATAGTACAAATAGAATTGTTCCTTTGTGGACATCAAAATATGGTATTGGTTTTATTAATGGAAAATGGAACTGCTAACAATCCAGACTTGATACATTCTCTTGTGAGTGACTTCTATATTCTTCAATTCATCTCCGTTTATTTATTAATTATATTAATCTTTTTATTTGATGTTTTTTCATATTTCATTATTTTCATTACAGTGGCAGACTTGTATAAAAACACTTGGCGGACTCGAACTTCAATTACAACAATGTTTAGATCCACTTCCGTCAAACGAAAATAAAGAATTATATAGTATTTTAAGCGTCGATGCAGAATGGGATACGATTAATCGTTCTGGACTTTGGGGTGTCACAGAATTGGACATGGTATCGTGTCTTCACGATAGATTCAGACAAGCCAGTAACCTTACCGATGTTATCGTTCGGTGAGTTTAAATCATTTTTCTATTCATTTTGTAGCTTCTTTTTATTGTTAAAAAAAGTATATGAGAAAGCGGAAAGAAGACAGAAACAGCATTGTGATATATTGAGTAAATGTTTTACTACGCATTACATAGGACCGAAGATGCCGTCGTTTATGGTAATCAATGTGGACAGATAGAGGTGTTTTATCAACAAGCGGTAGCTCCAAATATATCAGGAGGCCTTCCAACGCCGGCAGATCTAATGGGAACTATATCTTTGAAAGCCAAACGTAGACTTGAAAGAGACCATGGAATCGTATTACTTTAAACTTTCGTTTTTTTAGTAAATTAATGATTATCTATTTATTGACATTAAATAGAACTCTCTAAATTGATTTTATTAGACATTGTGAGTAAATTCATCTGTCGAGTTATTAACATATCCGAAACCTAGCTTATTCATATGGAAATCTAACGAGTGATCTGATCTATAATAATATTATCGTTGCATATTCATAATTATGTACAGGCCATGATATAATATTTTGTGGGAAAAAAGAAAATGAAAGAAAAAAAAGCCGAATAACCAATTAACAGTAATATATCTTGCTTAGAAAAAGTACTTAAATATTTTTAATTGATAAAAATGATGAAAAATATTTTCGGACATACATAAACTTTAAGTAGATATTTTTTAAATCGAATTTTTATAATTCAAAGTATTCTTTAAGCTTTAATTTTGACCACTTAGCATACGATTCTTATTTTTATGACTATGGTATCTTAATCTTATTTGTATATTTAAGTGATTTTATTTTCTTTTTTTTTTTTTAAGAAAAATGAAAACCTTAACTAATTAACATTATCCTTAAGCATAATATTTGTTCTCACAATTTGATACTGTTTGGATAATGTCATTTTCTTACTGAGATAAAAGTTTGATATCATTCACCAGCAGTATTTGATAATTGAACTGCTACGAAACATTATTTTCTCAAGCATAACAGATACTATATTTTGATACATATAAATAATGTGATTTATACCCATAATTGTTAACACATTCAATAATATAACTATGAAAGAGAGTTTGTCGAAAATGTAACGAAAAAGAGAAGTAAATATAAAAGTGTCCTTATATCTCAGTTTCTACAAAAAAAATCATTTATGAGTCTATCAGCTACTTTCTTAAGCTTTTATCTGTCAAACTGAAATAAGTAATGCTTACATAAACAACGATAACTAATATAATATGTTAATAGAACTTGTAATACCATTTTGAAAACTGACAATGAGTTTAATTCACTTTTACAAGTTATTTCAAGTTACAAGTTATTTCAGTATGTATGCGTACATTCTATATGTATACATAACAAACAATCATAGGAGGTATTTATTCTTTAAGTAGTCAAATAATATCACTCCAGAATTACATCTAATATCATTCATTTGTACTCATAACTGCAATATATGTAGATTTTAAAACTGATGTATACAAAATATTCAAGAATTCAAGATATTAAATGAAGGTTAATATAGGAACATATAATAAGAATGATATCATGACTTATTCTTGCGTGCTATTACTTCTCAGCATATTACTTTACAGTAATATTCTCATCGTTGGATCGTTATGTTATTTTAGAACATACAAAATATATTATTTTATTATTTACATGTGGTTAAGTTGAACCTGATGGTTGATTCGTGTAACATATTTTTTATAATTTATGTAATAGATTATAATAACGATAATAACATACAAAATCTTGTATAACAATGTACTTATGTTATTTATACATATGTTTAGTTCTTTTATTCCAATTAATGTCTATTATATATGTATAAACATGGATGTATAAGAAGGTTCGCTCTTTTATTAGAGATACATTGTACGTAGCACCGATAATTACACTAACAAATCTTAATTAGTCGTAGATTTTGATGATAGGAAACTAATTGTATCGTACTTGAAAAAACTCAATTGTAGATATTCTGAATTAAGTTGTGATCATTTACCGATAGTACTTAAAACATGCTTTTTGTAATTTTAACCGTCGCATAGTCTAGTCCTTTGAATGACTTTTTATAAAATGAAATATAATCCTGCTTGCCAAATAATCTGCATTATATCATGGATAACCAGACATTTATAATTATTTATTCATTTATGTTCTAATTTAGTCAAGTAATTGAAAAACAATGGTCAAGAAATAGTCTCAAAGAGGTCTATTTGATAGCTTCATTTCGCGCGAAAGGCGATTCAAAATTTGGCGGGATTAATGAGAGATGTTACGTCAGAAAAAGGCGTTGCGGTCGCTTAGAAAAACTAATCTCGAAGCAGCCAATCAACGAGCAGCGTATTAATGCGCAAAGGCAAAGAAAACCGCGATCTCGCCGCCTGTCAGTCAGTAATGAGAAACGAATGCTCTGTCAAAATACTTACGAGCGTCGCTGGATTTTTCGCGAGCGAACATATATAGCGAATAGACATATAAGTGCGTAATTTCTAATCTTCATTTCTTGAGAAAGACTTGTCACACGCGATAAGTATGATCGAAAGCGAGTTTTGACGTTAAAAAACTCGCGTAGTACCACCGCATATATCGCTACAAGAAGAATTATCGTGTCCTATAATAAATCTCATGTTCCTTCTTACCACCCAGAAAACAGTGAGGGCGCTTGTTAGCATTTTCTGCTAAATATATTAGGCGAGATTTAGAGAAGGAAAGGGAAAGAGGGAAAGAGAAAGAGAGAAAAAGAAAAAAAGAGGGAAAAAGATCTATAGACTCGTTTTCTTTCTCTCAGGAAATTCGTCTTCGCTTTCCTTCTCCGCTCTTCTCTTTCTTTATATCCCCCTGCCCGCCGGCCCCTGCTGCTTACCAACAGTCGGACGTAACCTCTGCGTTTACCGTTCGTCCCATTTCTACATCGTTCATCGAGTTTTGTCTCCAGTAGAAAGGAAAAAAGCAAAGATCGAGTATCCGTCCATCGTAATGTCGTCGATATCAGGATCGTTTTTATCCTGGTCCATGTTTATAGTCACATTCATCTATACGTTATCGTCAATGTCATCTTTGGCGTGGTGCTAAAAATATGCAACTTTAAGGGAAGAGACGAACCACACACGTTTACCCCACATCCTGAAAGTGCGAATCGACGTAGCACGAGCTGCGTGCGAAAGGAGAAAAGGCAGGCGGCGGTGGTGGTGGAGGTGGTGTTGGTGTAGTGGTGGTGGTCGTGGTGAGGTGGTGGTGGTGGTGGTCGTTGTCGTCGTGGTTGTGGTCGTGGTTGTGGTCGTGGTCGTGGCCGTGGTTGTAATCGTCGTTGTGGTGGAGGAAAAAGAGGAGGAGACGGCGCTGGAGGACACCTCGTGCGTGCTCGCTCCGAGCGGGTAACCGTCGGAGTACTAACTGTTTCCTCTTTGCGACTAGAAACTATCATCGGGGAAAAATGGCGGATCTAGAGGCGGTGCTGGCAGACGTCAGCTATCTGATGGCTATGGAAAAGAGCAAGTGTACGCCGGCTGCCCGCGCTAGCAAGAAGATCGTTCTGCCCGATCCTAGGTATTCCCTTCGACCCAATTTCGTTTTTTCTTCCTTTGCACGATTATTTCTCTCTTATCTCTTCCTTGTAGCTCTAACCATCTTCCTTTACCCCTCCTCCCCTTATTCCTTTATTCCCTCTCCTCTTACTCAGTCGCTCATTCACCTACTCTTGTTATCTCTCTCCTCCTCTCTCTCTCTCTCTCTCTCTCTCTCTCTCTCTCTTTCTTTCTTCATATATTACATATATATGTATATCAATTTCTCTCTCTCTCTCTCTCTCTCGTTCCTCGTCTATTTCTTTCTTTCTCCATGCTTGCTTACTCGCTCACTCACTCACTCACTCACTCATCCACCCACTCACCACCCTCTTGCTCGCAGACTCACTGATTCAGGTTAAATAGACGAATATAGGAACCAACAATACATAGCTAAGGTATATACCCATGGATACATCGTGATGAGAGGAATACATTAAAAAAAGATCTTTCCATTTACGTTGTTCAATATACGTACATACGTCGATAGTTAAAACTTCAAGAATATAATTTCTTGCATCCTGTTTTTGCCATTTGCATATATCTTTAATTTTCTATTTTATTCCTCGCCTATTTGAAATGTTTATTCAGAAAATATATACTTGATCTCGTGATTTTTATTTGTTCGTGTAAAAGCATTATTTTTTCATTTTATTATTTCATTTTTTCCCTTATCAATCCAAGTATAACAAAGTATGAAATAAAATATAAGGATTAGCAAGCTTAATAAATTATATTATTATTTAAAAAACTTATATTCTTTTTTAAGTATATATTAATTATATATTATTAATGAAAATAATATAATAATAATAATTTAAAAACTGTATTGTTTGTTTCAGCGTCAGAAGTGTAATGCATAAATATCTCGAGAAGAAGAATGAAGTGAATTTTGACAAAATATTCAATCAAATGTTAGGTGCATATTATTATTATTCCATTTTTTACCTTTTTGGGTATATAAAAAGATATGTATTTATATATAAAATGTTCTTCTCTCAGGTTATCTTTTATTCAAAGACTTCTGCGAGACTGTAGCGGAGGAACCAATTCCACAACTCAGGTTTTATGAAGAGGTTTGGATTGCTCTACAGACATTAATTAAATCTGATTGCGTTTTATCCTATCTTTTTATTCAACTTTAGATGAATTTTGGTATTTATACATTTTAGATTAAAGGTTATGAAAAGCTTGAATGCCCGGAAGAAAGGAGAAAAACCGCTAGAGAAATCTATGATAATTTTATCATGAAAGAATTGCTTGCGCACGCGCACGTAAGTATATTTCCAATAAATACTAACTATTATATTTGAAAAATATTCATTGTATATTAATTGCGCGCATATTAATTGTACATACTTGCTCGTTACGTTTCTTTTACAGGAATACTCAACGGATGCTGTTGCTCACGTACACAAGTATCTTATGAAAAATGAGGTTCCCATTAATCTGTTTGAGGTATATATTGTTTCAAAAGAAAATATCTTACATTAAATGTTCACGAAATTAATTATATTTAATAACAATTAAAATGATCATTGTTCTAGCCCTATATAGAAGAAATTTTTAATCATTTACGTGGCGAACCATTTAAGAAATTCTTGGAAAGGTAAGTGGCTATAGATTTACAAGATATTTTAATTAATCTAATTGATGTGCATTTTTAGTGATAAATACACTCGTTTTTGTCAGTGGAAAAATTTGGAATTAAACATTCAGGTAGTATAGTTGTGTTTCTGTATGAGTTTATTTGTAAATTAATATCGATAAATTTGATCAAACAAATTTCTATTTTTACAGCTGACAATGAACGATTTTAGCGTACATCGTATTATAGGAAGAGGCGGATTTGGTGAAGTTTATGGTTGTCGAAAAGCAGATACTGGGAAAATGTATGCTATGAAGTGCCTCGATAAAAAGCGTATTAAAATGAAACAGGGTGAAACATTGGCACTTAACGAAAGGATAATGCTCTCTCTAGTCAGTACTGGGGTAAGAATTGCAACAAGCAACAATGTAATAAAAGACGACTGTGATCTAGTTGAAAACATTGATTATTGTGTTATTTCCTTTAGATTTAATTTTGATATCTTTTAGGTGGATTGCCCATTTATAGTATGTATGACATACGCATTTCACACACCAGATAAATTGTGTTTTATATTGGATTTAATGAATGGCGGTGATTTACATTATCATTTAAGTCAACATGGTGTCTTTAACGAGCCGGAAATGAAATTCTATGCTGCCGAAGTAATTCTCGGTTTGGAGCACATGCACCGCAGATATATAGTATATCGCGATTTAAAACCAGCAAATATTCTCTTAGACGAACACGGACACGTAAGAATATCAGATTTAGGATTAGCATGTGACTTTTCAAAAAAGAAACCACACGCAAGCGTGTAAGTATGCAAGGATATTTTATTTAGTCGAGCATTTTTAAACATAATTAATAGCAATCATCTTTCAGAGGTACACATGGATACATGGCACCAGAAGTTCTTTCAAAAGGAACACCCTATGATTCCAGTGCGGACTGGTTTTCTTTTGGATGTATGCTCTATAAACTTTTGAAAGGACACAGTCCTTTCAGACAACATAAAACTAAGGACAAACATGAGATCGACCGAATGACTCTCACTATGGTGAGATCTACACTTTCGTTCTGACTTTAAAAATTATTCAATTTAAATAATGTGTATTTATCGTTATTTCAGAATGTTGAATTACCCGAAACATTCTCGAGAGAACTGCGATCGCTTTTAGAAGGTTTACTACAAAGGGACATCAACAACAGGCTTGGATGTCGTGGAGGAGGAGCAGATGAATTAAAGGCGCATCCATTTTTCAATGGGATAGATTGGCAGCAGGTCTACTTGCAAAAATATACACCACCTTTAATACCACCCCGCGGGGAAGTGAATGCTGCGGATGCTTTCGACATTGGTTCTTTCGACGAGGAAGACACAAAAGGCATTAAATTAACCGATGCAGATCAAGATCTATATAAAAATTTTCCTCTTGTTATTTCTGAAAGATGGCAAGCTGAAGTAGCCGAAACAGTTTTTGAGACGATTAATAATGAAGCAGATAAGGTATGTCATTATAATAGAATTTTTCTTTTTCCTTTTCTTCCACATATGATTTCATTAAATTGCTTGCAGGTGGAAAACAAGAAGAAAGCGAAACAAAAGCTACGATTTGATATTGACGATGAAAAAGGTGAACACTTCTTTATGTCATTGCATTATCAGTTACTTTTTTTCTATTTAAATTTGTAATTAAAATGATATTGTAATTATTATTTCAGGCTCTGATTGTATTTTACATGGATACATAAAAAAGTTGGGAGGTCCTTTCGCTAGTGCTTGGCAAACGCGCTATGCCAAATTATATCCGAATCGATTAGAGCTGCATCCAGAATCTGCTACGAAACCTGAACTCGTATTCTTAGATCAGGTTGATATTTCATTTCAAATTGTATTTATTTATGTTTCGTTAAATGTCTACTTTTTTATCTTTATACTTGTCTATTTATATCGTGTAAATATATCGAATTAAACAAGTGTATGGACTTTCAGATAGAAGAAGTGGGAGCTGACCTACAGCATGTTAAAGGAGAACAATGTATCGTTGTTCGTACGAAGGATGCCAAGATTGTACTTACGAATCCTGTAAGTCAATTAACTTATTCGATCAAATGTTCAAGTTTATCTGCATACATCTACATAATTTAAGAAAGTTACAATATATAAATGGAAGAATATGAGATATATGACATAATTTAGTCCTTAAACGGATTAATCAATATTTTTGTTATAGGACGAGATAAGTTTAAAAGAGTGGGCACTGTCGCTAAGATCGGCACACAAATGTTCGATGGAGATGCTCGGTAACATGGCAAGAAAAGCCGGCAAGATTTATGGGACTGAACGTGACGCCGTGATCCCGGCAATGCAGCGATCAACGAACGGCAACTAGCCCATTATTACTATATGTGCATCGACATACTCCAGTCCCACTGCCCCGCAGCGACAGCAGCAGCGACTTTTTTTATACTAAGAGATAATGACAAAGAAGAATAAGATAAAAAAAGAAAACAAAAATAAGAAGAATTAGAACGGGCACGTTACGTTAGAAGAGCTCATTGTTGGATTTTCTGAAATTTAAAACTGAGACATCTTTCCCATCTCACTTTCCAATCCCTCCTGAGCCCCTCCTTAGACCCCAACTTATGCCCTCATCTCAATCCCGATATACCATATACGGACAATATAAATCGTTCGTCCCAACAGAAGAAGTTCCCTTGTATGGCGGTTAGTATCGCACTGTATAGAGACTCTAGAAAGTAGTGTCGTTTAATAACATACAAGGGTCGAGAGTGAGTCCATACCTAGACTTGGGCGTTCTAGTTTATTTGTTCGGATGCATAGTGCACGTCATTATATTTGTACGTTAGCTCTATGTGCAACGTGACGTAGCTAACTAGCGACCGAAATCATCGACACACGCAATAGCATACGAAGATTGTGGGATGATGAAGGGAGGAGACATATAGAAAAAGTTCACGCGATAAGGAAAACAATCACGAAATGAACTTGATAATATGTTATATCATTATTACACCACAAAAATCGTATTCTAAGTACTCCTCCGCGTTGTATTGTTCATTTACTTAATTTATTTACACAATGCAGGACGGTTTTGTATTATCTCTAAGGATAACAAAAAAAGAAACACAAGAAAAACGATTTATTATTTATTATGTTATTGTACTAAGAAAGAAAAAGAAAAGCAGAACGAGTATGTATGTATGTAGGTGTATGTGTGGTATGTATGTGTGATGTGCGATTGTAATGCCAGAATGAACAAAAGAAAGAAAGAAAATGAGTAAAAGAGAAATCGTATATTGTTGTAACTGTGTACGCTTGGGTGGATGTAAATACGTGCATCTATCCTAGCAATAAAAGATGCCGACGAACGTAACAATGAGCTTTATAATTTATCTTCATTTTATTTTTTTTATTTTCTTTTTTCCAATATCGACTAGTATTATCGGTTTCGAATTTCTCTCAGTAGAAGAGCCAACTGAGAGTCTACGTTGATCGAATCTATTCGTCTTTCGAGCATTTCAAAGTCCAGCCTTTCTAACCACGTGGGAGGATCGATTTGTTTGGATGGAAGAGGACACATCAATCTCTCTGTTGCCGCGCACACACCACACCAGGTTCGAAAGTTTAACGGTTCAAAAATATCTCCTAAGAAGTTGTTAAAGCGTGCTTTTTGTTGTTCATTGCTCAGTACAATCCCAATTGCATCTTCAAGAGCTTCTTGAATATCGTTTGAAGAAATATACCGACTGCCTTGTAAGTTTTCTTCGTGGAATTTGACGAAAGCTCGACTGTATATTAATTTTCTTCCAGAACTCACAAAGACGTGCCTGCTCAAATAATCCAGTGCGGTGATTCCTACAAAAAGTGTCTTATATCGTATGTAAAAAATAATTATTTATTATTTTATTAATATCATGCTTTTTATATTTTAATAAAACAGAGAAAGAAATAGTTATGCGCAAACATACCGTACAAACTTTGGCTATCCAATATCTCAAAACGAGCAGTTTGTCGTGAAAATACACGTGGAATGTTTTGCATCGGTGGTACAGAAGTTTGGCGCGTTCCACACAAAGCAAAGTGAGTCTCACCATTCACTCTTAGAGCTTCTTCGAACGCAATTTTTCTCTGATATGTTTTTTCGTAAATATTATTCGGTCATATTTTGATTTCCAAGTTTTCTTTCTAATCTTTTCTCTCTCTCTTTCTTTCTTGTATTTTTTAAATAATAATTTACCTTCATTGAAAATTCCGCTTCGATTTTGTCGCGATTTAATTCTCTACACAAATGTTTCAGAATTTCTGCCGGTATAAAACTGAAATGCATCGTTTGTTCTGTCAAGGATACCAATACTTTTTCCGAAGATATCACCGTACAAGAACCACCAGTAAGCGGATGAATTCTGTGGAGGATAGTTTCATTTAATTCTTAACATAAGTATATAACATATTTAACAAGATTTCTATGCCAACTAACGAAGCTCGTCTGGACTCATTACTAGTTTGCGAGATTTGCGTCTCAAGTGGTTCAAATGGATCACGAACTTCCGTTTGTTGTCCATAAATCGAATCTCTTCTGCATTTCCTTTTACGTAATTTTTTTCCTCGCCTTCGTACGACCGTAGGTTCATCGCTGTTGTCGTTAACATTGTTATCTACAATCTTGAAAAGACAAATGTTTATGAACGAAATATGGATTACTAAATCAAAAACAAATTATAAATAATTGTATATATATTGCTTTACCGTTTCACAAGTTTTAACATTTAAGGAAGATGAAAGAGCAAATGGTGGCTGCAGACGCGTTGTCGAAGCTATAAATCGACGTCGAGATAATGGTTTATTGTTGACGATCTGATTTCTTCTAGAAATTGGTAAAACTTCTAGAGTCAGTGCATGCCAAGTGAGAGTATCGTTGCTCTAAAAGAAAACAAAATGCAGCAATTTTGCTAACCATCGTTAATCTTTTGTGGATCATTGAGTTTGACAAGATACAGTAAAGTAAATAATTAATTCCCTGTGCGATTGGTTATCGTGCAATAAGTAGTTCAACATGAACCCGATAAGAGCAAGATAGTTTGACGAACCAGGTGAGGCTGCGAGTTGGTTCTTAGATCTAAAACCAAAGTAGTGCGTTCTCGTGGATTGTATATAATTGGTGGAGGAGCGTTTTGAAGTGGACGACACGACACTGCTGCTGCTTGAACGCTAACGAGAGTAGGTGCCGGTGTGGGAGGTCGAGAATCGGTTTCAGTATATTTCCGGAATAGCTCTTCCGGAACAGTTAAAGTATCGATGTTCATTTCTTTGTCATCTAGATTTGCAGAATTCATGGTAATACCTCCTCTCCCGGCAGCTAATAATCTAGCGCGAATCATTTCCATTTCTTCTGGTAATAATAAGGCTTTACCTTCGCTCGCCTACAACAGAATGAAATAAGAAAAGAACATGGTCATTGTATGACCATTGTAATTTGTTGTAAATAGAAAATAATAATTATACGATAACTACGTCACTAGCGATTATAAGAATATCGTAAAATTCATTTCATTTACCCATGTATCCTTCGCACGACGCACCACCTCTTTGGCTTCATTATCTACAGGATGATTACACAAGACGGAGCAACCATAAGAATAGGGATTAAAAAGGCCAGCGTAAGGTCGAAGGGCGAAGGGTGCCGGCTTTGTAAATGCTGAAAGTTCCACATGCTGCGTGCGAAGATTATTCTCATGATTATATCGATCCTTTCATCTATAAGTAGTATATCTATATAAGTATTACAAAAAAATGAAATTAGGTGGCATTATTTTGAAATAATCGATAAAAATATGAATCTTTCCGATTAGTCGTTCAATTCGGGTAAGGTGGAGTGGATCGTTGGAAGGAATTCATTTCGTTGGAGAATATAGTAGCAGAATAGTTTGACGTTATAAAAGAAGAACGATGGGTCGGTCATCTTTTCAAGATTTTCTCTCCTTGACAATCTACTCATACGTCCTGAATACTACTTTGCGGTCTTTAAGGCGTTGAAAAAAATAAATATATCGAAATCAGAATTTGCTTATATTAACCAATGAGGCTCGTTATATGATGATAATTAGATATAGATTAATTTATCCATTTAATATTTAAGAAAATATTGCAACGAAATATTTCCTCAATGAAGTATACCTGTGGTTTATTTCTATAAATAGGTCGAACACGTGCAGAGATAAGGCCAGTAGCACTCGCGATTCCAGGCATTTTCTTTAACCGATCACCCTATCCGATGAAATAACATAAAACGAATAACTGCGTGCTCGTATGCACACTGACATACGAGTACTTTGCACATCATTGTTGTACAAATAACACCCCACCTTTGGAAAGATCATTCGTTGCTTAGTACCACGTTGCTATGTGAATTTGATGGGTCGATCGAGTCCATGCAGGAATAGGTATACTTTGTGTGTACTTACGTGTTATACGATCGAAGCTTAATGAACCTCGAAATGTCAAGTACATATTTACATTGAAATAGCATTTAAGTATAGGATAAGTATAATACTTTCTATCAATAGTAGGCACGCTTCTGATCATTTTACATAACGTTTTATTCAATCTCATAATAATACAGTAATAAGGCGAAGAATTACTTAATTCTTCTCTTGAGAATATTCTTATGTTCGAGTTTAATTATAAGGCCAGAAAGTTTCATATTTTGTATTAGCTGATATTACAAGTAATCCAATACTAATTGAATAAGAACGTAATAGCAAAGAAATAATGCGAATGCTGTTTAAAAACTAGAGGTAGGATTTTATTTGAGCCGTCTATATTCTTTATAAAACGGATCCTCCAGCTTGAAACCTTTGTATTTCTTCTTATATTTCAAACCAGTGACGAGAGTCGAGCTGAGCGGAAAAGCCGTCTTGCCACCAAACATCGTGTCTGTATCTGAGAGAATATTATCGATTGAGTAGCTGTTTAAACGGCGCATGGTTCATAGCTATATATATATATATATATATATATATATATAGTTATAGAAGACATTCTAATCGTTACTACGTATTCGAAAGAAATTTGTTCAAATGTTAAATAAATGATATACATATACTACTAATTATACTACCAGTAGTATAATAAATACTGCATCATTTTATCGATTAAGTGTTCATCTTACCAGGATGGAAACGATGATATTCGTATTGTACGTGTAAGTTCTTTGGAAGCTGCATTCTTCGCAATGTATCTAGCGGCGTGGCAACGTCCACCGTATTATGATAAAATTCTTTTAGATCTCCTGGTATACAATAATAATCGTTAACTTTAGGACATTGACTGAAAAGAATTAAAATGGTGGTGGAAACTCATTTCACAAATATTTTGGAATGAACTTTCCCTCGACACATATATATTATACCAATCGAGGAAAAGGAAGACGAAAAGGAAGAGTAAAAAAAAAAAAAGATAATCGTGCCGTGTGGAAAATCTCCGTCCACTTTTGCGTCTTCTTTTGCACTTGCAGTCGAGCATTGCAAAATTCAGTGGCATATGAAAACAAAAGGTACGAACATATGTACTCACCGACCGTTTCGATGATGCAAAGCAATGAATTTGGCACGGAATGCCTGAACTCTTCCGCACAGGCTGCGAAAATTTGAAAGCGCAAAAGACCACCCTCAAGCTTCGCCGTGTCATCCGTAGAAATTTCTTGGCTCGTACAGATTTTGTCAATTCGTTCGTTTACGTCGGTAGGTGGATCATATGGCTTTATTGATCGAAGAAATCTGAAGCAGAAAAGCAGCGGATAAGCGGCGTGTTTAGATTAACTCGTTTTGAAAAGATTGGTCAAAGGAATCGACGACCGATGCTAATTCCAACTAAAATATAGATGAATTAGTAATGAATTCGTGTCATTTGATTAACAGCTTTTCATCTTTTTGCAATTATATCTGCAATCCAACATTACGTTGGTGTCCATAATTAGAATCAAGGAACAATTTCAACAGACATATTATATATATACTATGCATAGAACAATTATCTTTTATTTTTTACAGTAAAGCAACAATTAGTTTTTGTTTGGCGCAAAGAGATACATATATAGATGTAGTCAAAAATGTCAAAGTAAATATATTTTTAGGGAAGAATATAATAGTATCAAGAATTTCATTCAATTCAAGTTCTGCGAAGCTTCAAATAGTATGCAGATCGGTCGATCATTTCTCGGTTGTAAAGTCTCGTTACATGTTGTACGCCTTCGAAGTAGAGGAAGGTCCCTTTACCCTTCGTAAAAACGTTCTTCTATTCTAACGGTTCTCTAGATCTTGGTCTCTTTTGTTACATTGCAAGAACTTTTACAGTTTGTACAAAGCATTGAGAAAGCAATTCACCCTACTTTCTATATACTCGATCAAACCCTTAGGCGTTCATCCTATTTTGAGAGTGGATCGTTTTCCTTGACGACAGGATTGATTTTGCATAGGACCAATCGATATCCTAAATTCGAAATTATCATCTTATAATACCGCGTTAAACCGCGTATATTTTCTATAATATGTGTGTACTTGGTAAAAGAGTTTTAAGCGCAGCATGCTAAAACGGTCGACGATGCGATGTCCCGTGGGCGAGGGTAAAAGGTGGTAACGATGGTGTCGCACACTCGACCAAGGGAGGATCGGTACGGAGCGAAGGGAGAGGGAATAGGAGATCGATGTCCACCGATAGGACGCTAGTGCCCTCAAGTGCACCTTTCTGAAGTACGTTACTGAATGATACCAGTGCTGTAACATGAGAAAAACGCGTCTACGTACCTTCCCCAGCGAAACCACATTTTTTTCATTTTACATTTTAGCTAAAATGGAAATCCAATTCAAGTCCAATTCAAATACATCGAGCAGTGATTTCTAATCGTTTGATAAGAAACGATTGACTGATCTATTCCCTTTATGTATCATCAAATATAGACGCGAAATATTCCTTCACCCTAGCTCGCCTTTCGTTCGATTAGTCAAGACTCGCATAGCTGTTGCGAGCAGAGTATAACAAAGCAATGAGAAAGAAAGAAAGCAGGAAAGAAAATAAAAGAAAGAAGAAGGGAGGGAGGAAGGGAGGGAGGGAGAGAGAGAGAGAGAGAGAGAGAGAGAGAGAGAGAGAGAGAGAGAGAGAGAGAGAGAGAGAGAGAGAGANAGAGAAAGAAAGAGAAAGGAGAACGGACGTCTTCCACATACCGCGTTGACAGGTAGACGCGAGACGATTGCTACGTTTCTCGATGTCTCGTGTATTCTGTGAAAAAAAAGGGTCAGTGCCCCTAAGCATTTTTTCGGAATTTTCTAGCGATCAATTTCCTTTGCTTATTCATTGTTAAGGTAAAACCGATACAAATATAACAAATAGGAGCAACTTTGAAATAATCACTAGGAAAAATGAAATAATCGAAATAATGACAAAATATCTAGAAGAATCAATGAACGAGGCACCGAAAATCGCTCGAGACAGCCCTGCGAAGTCGTAGACGATCGGAACACGATTTGCGCGCTCGGATAGGCTCGGCCGCTGCGCGAGAAGTGGGAGGAGGAGCGAAGGAGGTGGGAGAGGAGACCAGTATGGCCGCAGCCCGTTCTCAGGCGGTTGACCAGCTGCGCGACGTAACGTGACGAAATTACGTTTCCTTCAAAAGCGATTGACCGCTTACCCTTTCGCGGAAAGAGACTTCCTAGTAGCTTCCAACTTTGGATTCTGCTTGAGGGCATTCTTGGCAGGACTACTTAGCTTGCTCGCGAATCGCGCACTGTCGCGACGCGCATTCCTTGTCTGCGATCAAAAAAAGAAAGTGAACGAGGAAGAATTAACAATATAAAGAATAAATAAGAGATTGAGGGGGATAGAGAGAGAGAGAAAGAGGAGTGTGTTTGCGTGAGTAGAGTGTTGTGTGTGTGTGTGTATGTGTGTGTGAGAGAGAGAGAGAGAGAATGAATGAGTGAGTGAGTGAGTGAGAAAGAGAGAGAGAGAGGGAAAGATAGAGTAGAAATGATAGTGACACATTGTTGGATTTGTGCATAGTGTTGAGAACGGTCGGGTTAAAGTATCTGGCTGATATAAAGTGAAAATGTCGTTGGTGAAGTGTTGAAAAATAAAACTAAAGACCATATTAGGAGTTTTTCTTACTAACCGTTGGGAGCGCAAATAAAGCGGATGTACTTTTGAATGGAATCCCGTAAGAGGCATGCCTGATGAGCGCCGCCATATTTTTCATCGTCGATCGTCGTCGGAGAGAGGAACTTTACGAAGCGAACGTAGCAGCAACCATCAGAAATATCGGGACCGATCGTGAGGGGTCGCCTCGGGCGGCTGCGCTTGTTGTTTCCCATCGTCCGCCATTTTACGGTCGCCATTGAGAAGTGAAAACCCTACTTAAATGTTCTCGAATGATAGCGGTTTCGCCGTGTAATTTTCGGGCCTGAGAGCCCTGCCGCGTCGCAAAGTGTTGCTAATAAGTATAAGCCGTGCGATGGAGAAGCCATGACGCATCCATCGCATCAAACCAACGGCGCCAGCCTGGAGGACTGCCACACGAATTTCTTCGCACTGGTGAGTGACTCCAAATCTTTTCTTAACCGCGCATATCCGTTCTCTCATCTGCTAAGACTTTCGCCTATTACTTTTGATTATTTCGTCCTAATCGAGGTCCTGTACCTTCGAACCCATCATCATATCTCCCCCCCCCCTCCATCTTCTTCTGTCTCTGGCTCTGTCTTTTCTATCTGTCTGTCTTTCTCTACGTCGCAAAGTCGCCGTTTTCAACGACTATGATTTACAATCTCTTGTCCGTTATTCGATTGGTCTTTTCTACTCTAAATCGTTGGCATCGCAACCATCTAAGAATTTTAATGGGAGAAACGATTATTGGCTGGTTTGTCGCCCCTGTTCTTCCTCGAGCCCTTCTTCCGTAATCGTGATTCCTTCTTTCTTTGTAAAAGAAATGGAGATGTCTTTTTACAATCAAATCTTTCTTGTGTTAACCTATATATCAAGACAGGAATTCCCCTCTGCAGTCCTCCTCGATCGAACATCGACTTCTCTCTCCCCTCTCCACTTTGTCTGTCTCTCTCTCTCTCTCTCTCTCTCTCTCTCTCTACCTACCTACCTACCTACCTATCCACCTACCTACCACCTATCTATTTATCTCTCTTTCTCTCGTATGTTCCATCTCGTAACGCATCGCATTATTTTCTCTCTCTCTTTCTCTCTCTCTCTCTCTCTCTCCCCCTCTTCCGCAATACACACGCCCTTACATATATACTAGCTCTGTTTTCTCCATCGACAAGAGCGTGTCCTCGTCGGAAAGAAGTGTGCACTTCTTCGATACGCAAAAACATGAGTGCGTCTACACTCGCATACAAGTATTATAGATACGTATCTTCTTCATCGTCCCTACTTGTGTACTTGTCAGAACAAGAAAGAGAGACTGGCAGTTTGTTTTTTGCGGTAGGATGTCATGTCGCTTTCGGTCAAAAGTTTCGGCTGTCGTCTCGGTCATTATTGTACCGACAGCAGATGAGCAACGGATCGTTTCGACGTTCGATATTATTTTACTTTGATTTATCTTCTTTTTCATCCTATCGCTTTAGAGTAATAATCTCATTTTCTATGATAAAACGAAAAAAAAGGTCTCTTCGATTTTCGATGAATAAGTGTATATGAGTAACTGCACCTGTTTTTCCTGACTTCAGTTATTAAATTTGATTTATTTACTATAAGTATAATAGGAAAAGGAAAAAAGACAGTCGAATGTAAGGTAAAGTTAGAGCAGTTGCTACGATCGTCTTAGAAAGAAGGAAAACTGTGTCAGTCCCCGTTGTTCCCTCTGTGCTTCTCGAAAGTCCATAACGCTCCTCTCTCGCTTGCCAGCGTCTCTCGGAACACCTACGAGTTCCTCCTTGCACTCGAGGTATACCGTGTTCTTTTCACGCTCTGAGCCTTTTTTTTATCCATCTAAGAGACTCATCAAAAAGTTAACACGAAGAGGGTCCGAAAAAGATAGAAACAATGGTATAGGCATCGCTAGTGCGCGCGCGCGCGCTCGCCAAGGTAGTTACATTGATGTTCTCTTCATCCTCCTTGTCCTCCTCGTCCTCCTCGTCAACCTCCTGGTCGTGCGTCGTGCGTCGTACGTCGTGCGTCGTGCTATGCATGACACCGAGGAAAGAGGACAGATGCAGCAACGCATTTTTCTTCTATTCGCGGAATATACCAAACACAAACATACTGCTCGATTCAACATCTCTTTCTTTTGTCCATTGTCGTTTTCGTACCTTTTTAAGGATTCCCCTTGTTCGTTCGATCGCCGAAAGGGAAGGCTAAGGTTAGCTCAGTTGTCCTTATTCTTATTCCTTTACTTCTATCTCTGTCCATTCGTAATAAGTGATCCAGAATTTATAAAATTGCTTCGTTTGTAACTACCTCGGCAGTCGTGGCTTTAATTCTTGTTTATATACTTGAAAAAACGCGCGAAGAAACATTGAATCAAGTGTCCTCGACAATGAGAACGTGATTTTTTTCAGAAATTTCTGATATGATCTTACAGTTGAGAAGGCTTTATGTTGGTTAAATTAAGACTCGCTTTAATCTAACCAATATACTACGCGATTGGAAGTAATCACAAAACGAGTGCATCGACTTGTTAGTATTTATTTACTTTGTTATTTACGAATAGAATGAAAATACAATTAAATAATATTTTCGAGGATAGATTGTTTTTTAATCGCGTATAGAATCTTTATCGGGTAGCACTCGGTCCATCGTTTCCGTCCGTCAAAGAAAAAACCTATAGAAGAGAAACGTGGAAGTAGGAGAATTATAATTTACAATTAGCAAGTTTCTTTTCTTGCACCAGGACCGTGTTAGATACATTTTGTCAAAGCTTGCCATATTGTCATCGAGACAGTAGAAATTTCGTTAAACAGTAATGTAAACACTTTTATCGATAAATATCGCATTGTTCGTTATTTTCAAATACGTAATTTTCCAGCGAGTCGAAGGACTGAACAAAATCTTATCATAGTTTGCAAAGAACGATTATAATGTGAGATGTAAGCTAATGTATTTTCATTTTTATATCACGTATTCAACGCAATACATGTAAATCTATGAAGAAATTTCTCAGCGAGCGTGAAATCAGGAAAAATCGTTGCTCGAAGCAAATGAAATCTTAAAGTCTACAAATGAATCTTGTAAGTCAGAATTATTACATACATATCAAGTTCTTGCATAGGAGTTTAGATTTAGATGATTTTTATTCATTTTTTAGCGTTATAAGAAATTTTATTGAGATCGATCTAGCAGTTTTGTTGTTGTTTGCACTGAGGATAGATATAGTTTTGCTCTGTTGTACTTTATACGAACGACCAATAAAGAAGTAAACATAAAGCTCACTCTATTCTTTAGCGGTTGTAGACGAGATCGTGCTCTGCTTTCGTCTCGACTTCTCCCATGGCTTTCCCTTCTAAAAGTTCCTTAACTCGATCTTTCTCTTTCTAATTGTTTGCACTCTCAATTCCAAACGCGAGGAAGAATTTAAGAATTTCGTTCGCTCGTTACAAGCGTGCCATGCATGCACTTATTAATTTTAATGACAGATTAGAGGAGAATGTCAGTGACAGAGCGTGATATTACGTACGAGTATACGTATGACTTGAAATTATACAGTAAGGTTTTATTCGATATACGCGCGCAAGGATAAAGGTTAACTTCCTTGGTCTGCCAATATGTCCTATATATTATTTGGTCAATGAAGATTCTCCAAGAGATATTGAGTACCACTGAATCGGCGGCTTGAAGAACGGTGCGCAGGCGTATTCGTTTTACCCTCGTGTAAACAAATGACCGAATGCCAAGGGAAAGCGCATGCGTGGCGCTTCCCTAGCCGCCGTTTTCGAGGTTCTCAACTTTATTCGAATGTAAAGAAACGTAGTTTACGTTTACTACGACTCATTTTACAGATTAGGTAATGTTTCTCGTTTCTTCCCTATGCATTCTTCTACAATATACGTTTTCTTAGAATGATTTATTCGATGAAAACAAGATTCACGAGTCATTTGTAGTATCATATTGACCAATACTAAGACCGGTTGGCTGTTAAGCGAACCCTTACGATTATCAAAATATTAACGCATGGATTTTGTCTATGTAGTTCATGTGTCTAGTCCATTTATTGCTCTCAAACGTTTCGGCTCGTCGATATTCGCTCTTTGTGAAATCGGACATTTCTGTAGGATAGACAGGCAGACAGTGGGAATGGATATGGACAGGAGAATGGAGGAAGAGGGAGAAGAGAAAAGAGAGAGAGGTTAGCGTTCGTAGGATCGCCGTCCAGTGATCTCCGAAAGAGCCGAGGAGTGGGGAGGATAGGTAGGTTCGGTGGTGGGCGCGCTCGCAAGGATGGAACGAGAGAGGCACATAGGGGGTTCCCCGAGTTGAACCCACGCGGGCGGCCTTGCACGTCGCCTTGCTTGTATTGATCAGCAAAGCTTGACAGGCCCGTAACGCTGCGGGGCGCTTTTCATGTTTTCGTCAATGGATGGCCGATGCTAGCGATTTTTTAGGAAAGATGGAATGTAGACAATTTAATTATATTCCTTATAAAAGAACATTTCGTTTATCAATTATCGAATATCGACTGTAAACGTAAACTATTCCTATGAGACGTGGAATATTTCTACACGATCTTTTTATATAGATTGTAGTATTTTTGGTCCGTTATATTGCAGGCGTGTTAAAGATACATGGTTTGTTAATCGATTAGTCTGTTATAATGACAGAGAGTCGATTCATAAAGAGTACTTGATATTTTATTACAAATGTTTCGTTCTATGCGCAAAGAAATGACTTTGTTTGTTTGTTGTAGACGGACCTCTGCGGTATAAAATGGAGGAAGCTCGTGTGGGGCGAAGTTGCCGGGGGTTTCGGGGGTACTCCACTGGAGGATCCGGTACTGTCGAGCTTCTCGCGTTGCCTCGCGGGTGACATTCTGTGCGTGTGGCGACGGGTAGCCGCCACGCCGGCTGCCTCCGCTGGCGGCCCGGCAACCGCTTCTGGACCCGGCCCTGGCATCTTCGAACTGGGCATCGCGCCCTCTCCGGCTCCTCCACCACTATCTTTGACTGCAGCCAAGGAACTCTGGATCTTCTGGTACGGCGAGGAACCCGATCTTTCTGGTCTCGTCTCGCCAGAGCTCATTGCCTGCGGTGAGTGCCTATCGCTCGCACTCTGATGCATCAATGCCAATCCTTTTAAATAGAAAAAACAAATCGCCATGAAGCGAATCTACTTTTACATTTCTCA